CATCCACATGGTGGTACTTTGTGCCATCGGGTGTTTATCGCTTGTGTGATGTCCTGGTGGGGTAAAAATCTACTACTACTAGTAGCGGTCGGTTATCATAATGCACATCTGTAAATTCTGTGTGGACAGTTCAAATGCATGTATGAAATCAGCATGCTGCTTGTCCATCTGATCAGCTCATTCAAGAATTTTAACTTATTCGGTGTTAGGCAACTCATCATTTGCTTGCTGTTGTCTTTCTGCCACATAAATGTTTAGCTGCTTATTCCACTTTTGATTGTTTTACTAATGCAGTCTCTGCTCCAACTGTTATTTAAGTTTAACTCCTGATCTCTCATGATATTAGTGTATTTAACCACATTCTAAGACATATTTATTAAAGTAAACATTTTCTGTGAGACTGTGTAAAACAAGTTTTGTGTTCACACCTGTGGCTTATTTACACGCAGACTGTTGCCTGTCGGGCAGACATACTCGACTCCGAAGGAAAAAATCCCTAATTAGTCACCTTGTTTGCTTGTTTGATGGGGGGGGGGGCCTATCCCCCCCCCCCCCAAATGGGGCCCAAGAACCCATACAGATATGCCTGCTACTGAAAGAGTTCATATGATCTTTCTTTTAACTTGTCCTCTCTGGAACTGCAGCCTAAGATTGACACCCAGTGATTTAAAGAGCCACTACCTGAATGCGAATAACAAGAGAAAGTCCCCACAAATCCCATTCAACCATACAAAGTCATGCTGGGGCAACCTGGTAATATATCTATCTACCTGCTGTCCAATGTGGGCGAATCAAAGAAACAACTTAATATGATGGGGATTCAAAACAAAATTCAAAATAACCAAACATAAAATGCAGTGCAGACTATGCCTCACACCACCCTCGACATCAACTAAAGAATAAACTACATGAAAGACACGCTGCAGTCATCACTGGTGCCATGTAAATTACATATTAATTACAGTACATCAAAGAAGCATACGGTATACAAAAACAAGCAATAAACAGATTATTAATCAAACATAGCAACCATACAAGCTCAAATGTTGAAGAGATGAAAGGATTAGTCTATTTAAAAAGGAAATATAATATAATATAATATAAGACAGCTCATACAGGTCCTTTATTAGATATATCAACATATTAGCTATAACAACTCAAATGGAGCCAACAGTCAGCAAAAGATGTATGAAGTATACTAAGAACTGAATAACAATTAATACTATGTGCGTTCTTATTTTAAATTAACCCTACCAGACCGCTGGCCCGATTTTCCGGGAATTTTCTAACCTGACGCTATACCGCCTGCCCCATTTTCTGAGAATTTACGTAGTACGTGAAAAATATGTGTCACAGACTAAAAATAACCAGGAAATTGCCATCAGACTTCGTGGTTAGCCATTGCGAATGACTTCCCACGTGTGTTGAGATTTCTTTGTGTGGTTTGATGCGGAAAAAATTCGGAAAATTCTCAATGAAACGAGCGGCTTCGACAAGAAAGTGACGTAGGTCTAGGCTTTCCACAGTCCAATAGCTGATCGATACTTTGGTTAATTCAGACTCTGAATATGTTTATGAAGAATACGTTACCAGTTGAAGTGACACAGTCAGTGAGAGCTAGAGTGAAGAGGAGAATTATGAAAATTATAGATTCAAAACTAGATCGATAGTAAGGGGGCATGTCCCTCAAACAGCAACATCTGGTGCTTTTTGTGAAACAAGACAGATCCTACTAGGTGGATTGGCACACAAAGGTGGAATATTGGAGCTAGATGAAAGGTAAACCTATTTTCTACAATGTCTCCAGGTTTTATCTTATTCTAACCACTTGTCTGCATGTAACTAATTGTTTTGTACACCATGTTGTTTTTTTCGTGTTAATGCCCAGGAGCTCAGGTTATAGGGACAGTTAGGTTTCAGGGCCTCAGATCTGGTAGGGTTAAACTGGCTCTCAAATGAAGATTTGGTGGAAACCAAAATTTAAGTGGGAACTCAAATGTGCATGAGGAGTGGCTGACTCAATGGTTAAATAAGCCGGGTTCTTATGCAGGATGCTCAGGTTCGAATCTTCAGTAAGACTAGTTTTTTTCTGCTGGGGGCAATAATTAAACCCTAACTGCACAGTCCGTGGCTACAGCACTAGTCATGTGGCCCTAAATCTCAGGCTCATAGACCCTCCCCATGGCTTCACCGCAAGAGTCATCAATATCGACAGTAATGGCAGTTTATTTTCCTTTTTTAAATCAATGTATTCATTATAATTTAGATAGAATTGATAGGAGACATTATTTTAATTATGTCTAAAGCAAACACAGGTAAATACTCAGACACAAATATCCGCTGGAGGCTAATTAATTAGCACAGAGATTAGCATGCCGGCCCACCAGTGCAGGGACCATGTGTTCAATCCCATCACGTGCCTGTCATTAATGAAAAAACTGGCCTGGGCTTCCAGGTCGAGGTAGTCTCAAAAGGGTCCCAGAAAATATCATCGGAAGTAAAGGTGACCAGTATATTGCTGACCACATCACCCACAGAGTGCAGATTTGTCTATAATATGTCCAGCAGCTTATGCCTAAAGTACCATTGGCATTAGTGAATGCGGTTTACGATTTCAGCATTCCTGAGGTTTGTCTTCCATGGTGGATAGAAAGGGGAAGGGGAATATGTTCCTATACTCTTTGGACAATGGTAAGAGAGTCACACCATGGAAGAAACAGGGACCTCACTAGGTAATATTCACAAACAGTGGTACTCTGTAGCCAACCTTTACTGTGGAGACAGCCCAGAATCATTTCTTTAAAAATCACCTTCACTTGCACACAAATCTATTTTCATTAGGTGAATTGACTGTATAAACTAGATTACTTTAATATACTTGTATAAAATTTATGTGCGTACAACAACAAATTAAATTCTAGTTTTCCTCTTCTTTTTTTAAAGGTCAAAAATAATAAAACACAAACTTATAATCCAAGTTGTAGTCAAGATGCTAAGTTATATAATACTAAGCATTAAAAACACACTCTTTCAGAAATGCAGAATACAAATGTTTACATTAAAAATGCAATTTAATAATTACACAGGAAATAACAAATAACCAGATAATACAAAAAAAAGTAGAATTCACATAAGTGTTGCACTGATGAGCACACATCACAACATGGTGGCACGGAAAACCATCTTGAAAACTTAACATTTTTGAAAATCTATACAAATATTACAAAAACGCATTTTTTTTTAAATTCCCCTTGTTGAGTGCTGCTTGAAAAATAGACACCTAATGACTTAAACAGCCAATTTTCAGATGTGAATCCAACTGAAGTAAATTACAAAACCCTGTTTAACCATTTAAAAACAATTTTATCGGTTGCGGTCCCCTCAATTAGAAAGTAACTTGCTGTTCTATGGACTGACTGCAGTAACAAAAACATATGAATCTGATCTCCATATTGCACCCATTAGAACCCAGTTTTTCCACTTGGTCCCAATATATGTCAACCTATGCTCCCTTCTCCGTGAATGAACTGCCTACTTTTGAAAAAGATGTACACATATGCTGTCTGCAGTATTCTGTAAACAATATGTCATAGGAAACAGACAACACCAAAATATAGAAATATGTCAAAGGACAGGCAACAGTTTGAGGTGGAACTGGCTCAGGTGAGGGGGGGGGGGGGGGGGGGGGGGTCATACATCAGTGAATATACAGATATATATGTATTAAAGCAAATAACATTCACTTGGACATCAACAATGATCGTTCTGTACAGCTGGCTTACTCAGAAATAGAAACAATGCAAACTGTCATACTTCCTATCACATTCAACAGTATTTCATGGTGCAGCAAAATGATCAATCCCCTGCCAGTTTGCTAGCAGGACAAAGACATGGAGCCACATCAGACACAAAGTAGGGAAAATAAACCACAATTTACACGTAAGCTACATCCGAACAATGTAGATTTAGACTATATCAAAATGTAGATGTGGGGTTCACAAAAACAAACACAAAAATGTAAGTGGGCAAACACAATGTAGATAGATGTGAGCTACTGTAGCATCAGCAGGCAAAACCAGAAACAATGAAAATGCGGGCTACATGAGACAATGTAAACTGGGCCAAAGATGACTCACACACAAGGCCACGCCATATGTAGCGTAGATGTGGGCTACATGAGACACAATGTAAATTGGGCCAAAGATGACTCACACACAAGGCCACACCAGATGTAGCTTAAATGTGGGCTTCATTGGACACAATGTAAATTAGGACAAAGATGACACACACAAGATGTAGCGCGTAGTGTAGATGTGGGCTACATTAAAAACAATGTAAATTGGGACAAAAGATGACGCACACACAAGGCCAAGCCACGCCCGATGTAGCGTACATGTGGGCTTCATTGGACACAATGTAAATTGGGACACAGATGACTCACACACAAGGCAACGCCAGACGCAGCATACATGGAAATACATCAGGCACAATGTAAATTGGGACAAAGATGACGCACACACAAGGCCACGCCCAATGTAGCGTAGATGTGGGCTACATCAGACACAATGTAAATTGGGACAAAGATGACCCACACACAAGGCCACATCAGATGTAGCGTAGATACTGGCTTCATTGGACACAATGTAAATTGGGACAAAGATGACGTACACACAATGTCACGCCAGATGTAGCGTAGATGTTGGCTTCATCTGACACAATGTAAATTGGGACAAAGATGACGTACACACAATGTCACGCCAGATGTAGCGTAGATGTTGGCTTCATTGGACACAGTGTAAATTAGGACAAAAGAGGAGGCACACACAAGGCCACACCAGGCGCAACGTAGATGCGGGCTACCTCAGATACAACATAAATTGGGGGGAAAGAAAAATGCACAAACAGGGCTACAGCAGACACAGCAAAGATGTGGTCTACATCAGACACAATGTAGATGTGGGCTTAGATGTAAGCTACATTAGACAATGCTGCTGGCAGCCTCAGTACTGTGGTTGGTATTGGTGATGCTGCGGGGCGTAGTGTTGCTGTGAGGGAGCATGGTGTGGGTAAGCTTGAAACTGGGTGTGACCCACCATCGGATTGCCCTGTTTCTGTAGTGGAGGTACACCTTTTCTATACACCAGCATCCTCAGTACAGGTTTCTTCCGTATGCTCTCAACAGCCTGCTTGTGTGTCACTAGTGTAAAGTCTTTCCCATTCACCTGAGACAAGAATTAGGGAGTTTAAAATCAAGTTTTATTATTTAAAAATCTATTTACAAGCATGTACAAATATTACCATTTTATTTTTTCATAGTTGGTATGTACCACAAATTATTGTTTAAATAGCGTACGTAATGAGTCAGATAAATCACTAAAAAGCAACAGATGAGATGGTTGGGGTATCTGCGTATCTGCTTCTAAGAAACCGGTATGAATTACCACAGAGAACCATGCTGAAGAAATATGAGGTACCCTCTTGCCTTAAAGTCAGATAGCCTTTGGTGATAGCTGTTGTGGCTACATTCTAACAGGATGATTTTCTGCTTCTTAATGAATAGCTTGAACGTGTTGCTCCCACAATCTGTCCTGACAGTATCATTTCTCCCTCTTTGTTGGATGGTTAAGCTGGCATCTTTCCTCAGGCATCTCACTTCACATGTGTTAATTTTTGGTGGAACAGCCCCCAATAATGTCCAAGTTTAGCACATGTCGGCGCCTTATTTGTGCGGTTTTCTCTTGTTCTCTATCTACAGGTGGTTCCCCTGGATAATCCGTTCAGTGCAAATGTTGTCAGCCCTCAGGGGAAGGCAGGGGCAGATCATGGGCATTCCTGCCATCCAATGAGGCTTCCATAAATGCACAGCTGACATATGACCCTCTGGTCCAGGGCTCAACCAAGGAATCATCGCGTCCTACACATGTCTGCTCAACCCCTCATCTGTATGCTTGATTTTTCTTTAATTTTGGGGTGACAGAAATTTGAAAAAAGTTTTTTTTTTTTATCTCCTAAACATATTCAACAAAATATTCATTTCATATGTATTGAAAGGTCTGGTCCTTTCCCCCATTGAATACGCTCTGGCTATCCTCACTGTCAGTGCTACCCAGATTGAACGACTCAAAAAGGTGCAAAATGAAAAGGTCAACGCTCTCATCGGTGAAAATTCAGACGAAGCAGATGCAATAATCTATACAGACGGATCCGTTATACGCCAAAGAAGAAGCGCATGGGCATTTACAGCGCGCTCAGCGGGCAGAACAGTCAAAGAAGCCAACGGCGCCTTCTCCATGACAACCAGCAGCATGACGATGGAGGTGATGGCAGTGACGCAAGCGCTTGCCTGGCTTGAAACACAAAAATACACCCGCGTGTGTATACTCAGTGATTCAATGAGTATGATCCGGGGGGTTCAGGCAGGTTCAGTGCGAAGACAATGGCTTGAATCATTACAGAAGTCCACTGTGCGTGGAGTCACCTTTATTTTTGTTCCGGGACACGCAGGCGTCGATGGAAATGAAAGAGCTGACAGGTTGGCTGGATCCGCTATCACTATCGACGGTCAGCCTATGGATCATGCTGATATTATCAATGCCCTCAGAGAAATGGGAAGGATAGAGGACTTTGGAGGCAGTGAATCCACATCACTCGCCAGAATGGCAGACTTGGGAATTAAGATTGGCACAGCAAAAAACGAGACGCACACCAGACACGCCAGAAGACTTGTTAATCAACATAGAACTGGTACTATTAGCCATCGGACGTTGGGGTTCATACTGAGGGAAGGATCTGAGCACCTATGGACATGTCTGGAGTGCAATGAGGATAACCTAACTAACTAACTAAGTAACTGAAAGATGAAACAAATTTAACTCTGTCCACCATACGAGAAACTTAAATATAGTCACTTCTGTGTTGTGACTCAGTCCCATAAATGCCAATATACTGGTCTGTCTGCAATGATCTGTTTTTGAAAAGTGTAGTTAAACTCTGCTGGTTCTACGTGCGCTTGCAAAGCATATTTAATAGGCCAGGATAAAGTAGCTAAAAATATCATTGGCGAAAAGGCCCTTATGACCCAGATGCATTTTTTAAAGCCATAAATTTTTAGTGATAGAGGTCATGGCATGTGTCACCCGATGCACAGATTTTAGGGCCCTGAAAAAGAAATTTTACTGCTTCACTCTGCTCGGATTTTTGATTACCTCTTTTAAATATCTCTATTTATTTCAAACAAAATAAAAATTAACCCCACCCCAAATCCACTCTTCAAAATAAGTGGAATGCAAAACGCAGGAGAACTGGAGCAGAGAGTATCCAAAACTACACATTCAGGCTGCTGAGCTGAGAAGAACTTGTGAGAAATGGGAACATTTTATCAACATGATCTGATAATTGCAACACTGGTCCTTAGACAGACTGACCTGATGATATGTATGAGGGATAAGGTAGATAACTTTAGACTGACTGACCTAAAGATGACTGTAATGATTCATACCTGGAGTATTTTATCATGGAGCTGTAGACCACACCTGGAAGCCGGGCTGTTGTCATGGATATACGTTACATAAACACCCTGTCAAATATAATGTTATAATATTTCATGCTAGAATGAATAAACAGAATGTGAAACAGCACAATCACAATACAACAAATTTATCGTTTTTAAAAGGAGTAGAAAATTAAAGGGAAGAGAAAAAGTTGATAAGAAACAACAAATAGTTTATGTTAGCTTTACAAAATCCATCACAACAAATTTATCGGAGTTGAGTTGAGTCAAGAACCAACATGACAGCACCCAGGGCATTCCCATAAGCGCTCGGCCCCCATCCTCAGCAGCCAGTGAAGAGTTCTGATACTAATGGTGCCAGTAGCATTCTGATTTAGTGTCCGTCTTGCCTTTCCTCTGAGCCTCGAGCATCTGCCAGAACCTCTCGTCACTCCTCGCTGCATGAATCTCACCAGACTGTGGTGATCCTTCTGCTCCTTCGAACTGTACATGCTCTCCCACAAGGCACCAACCATATCAATAATCACCCCCCCCCCCCCCACAAATACTCATCTAGTGTAATCTCAGCACTGAAGATAAGCTCCCTAACACTCTTTGGCATATATCTACAGGTTTCTACCAGCGCATCTCTTGATGTTACCAACCCTGGAGAAATTTTGCCATACTGTCTTCCTGTAGCATATCATAATTTCATATCACCACACCCTTTAACAAAGAGCTGTGTCTCTGTATGGCTGAGGTAGCATAATCGTCATACTTTAATGTCATTCAGTACTGTTTTCTTCAATTTCAGTTTGTGTAATATCTTTATCTTCTTCATCTGTAACATTCTCTGTCGGGAGCACAGTCCATGACCTTACCTGGGATTAGAACCTGGGTCTTCTGTTAAATACGATCTACTTTTATTACCCTGACTAGGAACTCTATATGAAACAATGTGGCGTTGGTAGCCATGTCTATCCACAACCTTCAGTCCTGTGTACTTGCAGTCAGTTTTGACATAGATGATCTTCAATGCCATGATGTCAAACTGTCCTGCATATTGTCTTTCTGTCTGCCTCTTTCCCCACCATCACGATATAGTCCAGTTTTTTTCGCGTGACATAAACAAAAAATGAAGGTTGCCTCCTTTCAACATGGACAGTTTTTTTATGAGTCGTTTTCTTTTGAGACATCTTCATAACTCTTTATCTCATTATACATCTCCAGAGCAACTTGTCCACCACTTCCACATAATTTTACACTAAATGACCAGCTGTGCATAATTTCTTTCCGTACATCCGGACAGGATTTATATAGATCCTGAGAATCCACTTTCACACCTCAACTGGCAAAGAAAGACTGCATGTAATATTCTTCATTTTCTACAAGGACAGTAATACAAACTTCAAATATGCAAGGCACACCTTATCTGGATAACCCTGGGGACTCTGAGATGGGTCTTGGTCAATACCACCACCAATTCTGAATCCACATCGATAGCGGGGTTTTCCATCAGGATCTCTTATAGGATTGCCTTGTTGATCTATATCTTGTTCTTTTTCCAAAACAATTGGAATCTGAAGCAATCAAAACGCCAAAACAATTAGTTAACAGAGCTCTTAATGACTATCATTTAAAATGAGCTTTGAAAAAAGGGTAGGCGTGGGGGGGGGGGGGGGGGGGGGGGCATATTCTGACTTCCCTGTCTGCATTATAGTTCCTCACTGGAAAATGGAACAGATCCTCTGCGCCTAACAAGCATGTCTTAATAGGCTACTAATCAGGGTTTTGCTAAAATATGATGTGTGGAGTCAAAAGGCGCAAATATTGCAGCCTAACTGTAAACTTCAAGCAAGACGTGTGTGAATGCAGAAGAAGTATATTCAAACTAAGGACAGCAGAGACATGTAGCAGAGTTAGGGGTCAGAAAGAATCATCATCTTGTGCAGTGATCAGAAGTGCAGATGATCACATGTCATCTTTATTTACCCTTACAAATGTAGCTGGCATGTTGTGTTGTTTACAGCTAGGCTGCAATATCTGTAAAACCAAATATCTTATTTCAGCAAGATGTGTACTGCTAATAGCTTTTACTACTGATTATCTCCCACACAAACTATCAAACAATCCAATGTTTTTTGCCCTCTATCTCAAGCAGCCCTGATCTTCCTGGCTGTTGTTAGCTACTCCTAATGCTCTTGTTTAGTCATACACATATCACAAATGCAACAATAAATTACAGATGTCTTCAATGAACTTGAAAGGACAGACATGTGGATGGAATTATAACTAATTTTATTTTATGGAAGTTTCAGGACTTATAAAATGCACAAGTAAGAGCACACGGATTATCTTCACACCTCTCTCAACACTGCATTCAGGTAAACAAAGGAAGTGTGGAAAAAAAAAATCCATCCATATACATTAACTAAGCCAAATACTTCCTGTATTTACCACTTTTGCAGTGTATGTGGGTCCTTTAAGCCTGAGGATTTAGGGAAGTATCAACATCTGGTAATTATGTATATGGCAGACAGATGGGTCGGGTGCAAGCGTTTAATAAGTTAGAAGAGGAACAAATTGAGTATTACATTCTTCTCATACAAAAGGACATATATTTGTACTTTATTGATTATACTTAAGCATTTGACACAGTAAAACATAAGGAGATGATAAAAATGTTGGAAGACACCAATGTAGATGAGAAAGATCTCAGAATAATTAAAAACATTTACTGGAACCGATTAGCAGCAATTAAAGTGGGAAACAGATTGGGTACTTTTGAACAGATAAGGCAAGAGTAAGACAGGGATGTGTCTTATTCCCAAACCTTTTCTCTCTATTTAGTGAAATAATTTTGATGGAAATTAAAGAGATCACAGGAATAAGAGTTGGAGGATACAATATAAACAATTTGCATTATGCAGAAAATACAGTTTTGATAACTGAAAATGCAACTGATTTACAACTGCTGGGTATTGTGGGGAAGAGAGTGCTAAGAAGGGCTTTCCTTGAACATTGACAAAATGGGAGTATTGGTTATACCAAAGAAGAAGATAACACAACTTTGTGATATCTCAATTGAAGGAAAAAGACTCAACCAAGTCAATAAATTCAAATATCTTGTGACAGAGATAAAAAAGCAGAATAGGTCAAGCAAACTCAGCATTTCATAAAATGAAAAATGTCTTATGCAATAAATCGCTCTCATTTAATGTCAGAAAGAGTGCTAAAATTTTACATAGAACCTGTTCTGCTGTATGGCAGCAGATCTTGGAATGTCAGTGAACAAATTAAGAAGACTTTGGAAGCAACAAAGATGTGGTTTCTGAGACGAATGTTACGAATACCTTGGACGGCCAGAGTAACTAACGATTGTTTGAAAGAAGCTAATAAAAGTAGATCTCTATATACAACAATAAGAAGGAACACTGTTTTTTGGCCAGGTAATGGGAAGAGAGGCATTGAAAAACATTGTGACAACTAAAAATATCAGTGGAAAGATGGGAAGAGGCAGACCAAGAGAGATGATGCTGGATGGGTTTAAACGATGGCATGGAGGGATATCATCAAGAGAGCTGTTCCAAGCAACCAGGAATCATGATCTGTGGAGATACATGGGTGCCTATGCCAACTGGGAGTGCACACGATGATGATGATCCTTCTCAAAGCTGTTGAAAAACTGTTACACTTGCATGGCACATCTGCCCCTGTGGAAAGTGTTTTATCCATACTGAACAAATAAATCTTGTTTAAGTGTCTTTACAATGAACTCCACCCTTCAGGTATGAGTAAACTTTAAAGAAAGTTTTGGAGACTTTTATGAACAAATGAATAAAGCTCTTCTCAAAAAGATTGATTCTTCTGATAAGCATTGGTGACAGTCCTTGACTTCAGCATGAAGAGTGTATCAGGAGAAGGTAGAAACACTATGTAAGCTATCTGAGACTTTAATATTTATTTTTTATTATTGCTTATACACACTATCATCATCATCATTCCTATCAAGTGCCTTGCAGACTGGCATGGGTGATTATGAATCTCCACAATCTACAATCCTTAAAAGCAAGTATCAGTTTGTGTGTTGACATCTCTCCATACCATGTCAAAGAGGCTGCAAAAATCATGTCACACAGTCTTCCTTTGCCTCTTTTTCCACAGATCTTTCTAGTCATCACATGTTCTACTTTCTTTCTTGTCATTACCAAAAAGTGATGACTGTCTCTTTTGATGTTTGTGACAAGTTGTCTTCGACCCTTCCCCTCTTTTAAAACACTTGAGCTGCTCTCAGGCCCTCAAGAAACTTTGGCTTGTTTATTATTAATTAACTGGTCAGGATTCAGTCATATTTTAAAACTGGCTCTACACAGCAGGCAATAATTCTTTTTTTTAACCTTGAATGACATGCATTTATTGCAAACAAATGTTCTTTATTTTAGCATGTCATACTATGTTCTCAATCTCTGTGGTAATCTTCTTGAAGGATAAGATAAGAAGGATATAACTTTGCATTATTTTCATTTTATTTAGTTTCTCTCAGTATTCTCTAATTATAATTCTGCTAAATTTTTTCTCCCTAAGTATTAGTAAAAAGGTAGGTGGATTATGATTAAGTTTTTTAGAACTGAAATCTCAGTAATCCTGACATTCTTATAATAACGCTCTGTCCCCGTCTTAACACAACACCCAGCGATTCTAGCTCTGGGTGATACTGATGATACCAGTATATCATATGATATGATATATCAATGAATAGTCCTCTATTCAAAAGCATTTGACCAGATAGTGGCCAGATAGTCCTCTCGTAAAGTATTACATTTGTACCATAGTCGTGTTCGCAAATAAGAAAGCGCTCGTTATATCGTAATATACTTGCTAATCAAAAATACATTAATACATTATTGCTTTGTACATACACTGTAGCATTCCAGCGGTTCCCCTGCTGTATGACCCGCCATCTTGACTTCTGCTGAGATATACGGAAGTGGGCCGGAATCGGAAGTCGTGATATTGTTTTGGCGTCTCTGACGACCATCTCCGTTCTGGGATTTTAGAATATCTGAGTTATACCAGTAGGTTGTTGAATTTCAACTTGAAACATATCAGAGCTTCGCTTTGTCGACGTTTACATAGCGCACAAACAAAATCAACATGGTCAGGAGTAAGTGCATTTTGAACCAATGTGTGTACATAAATAATTTCGCATGTAACTATTATAATGACGTTGTTGTGTGATGCGTCCATTCTTAGCTAGTTAACTTAAAGTTCAAGTTGGGTTATTGTTATTATTGCACTCCGAATAATAATATTATATCAGCATCATCCATAGAATGACTGTCGGTAGTGATAGCGGATCGAGCCAGAATATTAGCTCTTTAATCTCCATCGACGCCTGCATAAACTGGAATAAAAATAAAGGTGACTCCACGCACAGTGTTAAATGTTGAATTAAGAATCGACATCACAGCACTCGGGACACCTCCATAAGCCTCCAACTAACGGTCCAAAATTATCGAGGCCGAAAATATACCATAACAGGGCCTCAGGCACATGTAAATTACGGACCTCTTTCTGTTGACTATACCGCCACCGCGATAGTATCTCCCGCTCTGCTATGCACGGGGCGGAGTGGGGGCTAAACTATATGGCTAGGACTCACGAGCAAATAAAATAAAGGAAGCTGCAGGAGATGTGGTAGCTGCTGCTCTTGAGTCTCAGCCATCTAGTTTAGCCCCTCGCGGCACGTAGCGGCGTGGGAGATACTCTCGGTGGTGACTTTAACTCGACGGAAGCTTTTTCGTGGTATGCTGTGTAGTCACCGGAAGGAGGTTCGCAATTTACATGTGACTGAGGCCCTGTTAGGGAATATTTTCAGCTTCGATAATTTGGGACCATTATTTGGAGGATAGCCGACTTCTGTAATGATTCGAGTCATTGCCTTCGCACCGAGCCTGCCTGAACCCTTATCCTCCGCATCATACTCATTGAGAGCGAATGTAGTTTTGTGTTTTGAGATATGTGAATGCTTGCGTTACTGCCGTCACCTCCATTGTCATGCTGCTGGTTGTCCTTTTTGTTAATTTGTAAGAGAATTCCGGACACTGCTTAGCTGACAACGCTGACATAAAATTAAGATCGAAACTAGACTGCCTTCTACGTCTTTGCGCCAGTTTAACTCTTTGAGTCCCAGGGGGTTTAGAATCAGAGGCCGAAGGGGTGGTAATGCAATTTCTTAATTTCACAAGTGTAAGACATTAAAACAGACCATACAAATTCAATTGCAGCGCAACATACACATATTATACATCAAAGTGACCAGGAATTTTTTTTAAGCATCATAACAAGAGCACTATTATTTGGTAAAGAAAACTGACTCCCAAAACAATAAATATCTTCAGGCAAAACAAAGTTTATCTAACATTCAATTTGCCTGTAATTTTGTAGCTATGTTCCTAAATAATAAGGGGAATAGCACTAGAACTAACTGATACTTAAGAAAATCGTCTTTTAACTAATGTTTATTCTATTGGTGCCAGCTGACTTTGCTATCATTGTACCCTTCGCGTGAGGTACACATTAGATATATCCCTCATCAAAGTTTGACTCTATAAATGACTGAAAAACGCCTAATTTGCAACGGTATCTATCTAACTTTGGATAAATCTTTTTTTTAAAAAAACACGTACTTTATTAAAATTTTAGGCTTCTGAGGCTGTAAATCACATTGGCATGCATGTAGAATAGTGCTTTGCAGCCATATTCTTTTCAAACACTTAGTAACTCAGGAAATTTGCAAATATACTATATTTTTGGCTTTCAAACCAGGTTTCTAAATGAGCACGCTTGATATCAGACACGACGGATTGGAAGGAAGTTGAAATTTAGCAATCTGCGTTTTACAACCAGTCATTGATAGATTAAAAACCTTCACTTGTCGCGTGTTGAATGGGACGCTAAGTTGAAAAAAATTAGCGCGTGATGCGTTTAATGCGACTGAAAGAGTTAAGTAGGGTTCTAGTAGGTATTGACTTGTTGGGGATTAGTTTAAATCTGATGTTTATTATTAGCATCTCATTATTATTAAATATTATATTTGCTGAAGGAGGCGGAACAAAATCTGTGATGGGTTTGCCTAATGTCCATAAAATCAATTTTTTAACCGAGTAGCCAGTATACTGCAAGTCAGTTTAGCCAAAATGATGATGAATTTAAGGGTCTCTTGAAGCACAAATAAACTGACAAAAACTTTTAAAAAAAGCTTGCAGACTTGTTTCAAAGAGCAATTTCCACAGTAGTAGAACACTCACATAGTATGATACCAGGTGGCAAGGGATATTTATCGACATGCAAGCGCTCAAATGTTTGAAACAGTGTTTTTATGATTTATCTTCATTTAATTACTTACCTTTTTATTGGGGAGTGGGATATGTCTATAAGAAAAGAGCTAGTCATCCAGTCAAACCAAACCCACTGAAATATACATTACAATGAACAGTAAGATAAAATTACAAACTCTGCACCAGTTGCATGCAGTTCTTTCTTCTTCTACTTCTTCTTCTTCTTCCTCTTCTTCTTCTTCTTTTTCTGCATTCACACTTAACGAGAGGTTGATACTTTATGTTATGGTTTACAGCAAGAATGTTTTATCAGTACCTTTCAGCCAAAACATTCAATTTTAGCAAACTCCTAATCATTTGCATTTTATGACATCCTTGATAAGGGGCAGAAATATATTCTTTGTTTCCCTCAAAATGGGAGCCAGAGAACCCAGACATGGGGTTCAGTTCTTTCCATTCCATAACTTTATAGGGGCAAAGACACTCTTAGAGCAAACCACAAAGATGAACTGGAGAGAGTGAAATAAAAACTACAGACCAGAACATGACAGCCAAACTAAGGAACAGTACACTAAATTCAGAGAACAGTATCATTCAATGGGTTTTACTAACTCTGCCACATGCAAATGTGAAGCATCAAAGCAAAGCCCAAAGCATGTCCCACAAGACTGTCCAGATTTTTTTTTGACATAGAGAGGAAATATATCACAAGTATTGACCATATGAGCAAAGCTTTAGGCACTGGTAAAGACCTCTAGTGCACCATTCTGTTTGTAACTTATGCCAGAATTGATGAATAGCAAACATTGATTGCTGCAGAAAAAGATGGTTAAACAAATATTGAAAAATGTATAACATAGTGAATTAACCCATTATGTTCTTTTTCACACCACTTGATTTTCTAAAATGTGTTTAGCTCTTACACTTTGCTCCTCATATTCAAAACCTTCTGTTGTACTAATTGACCTAATGTACTAATGAATGTTTAAAATCTATTAATTATTTTGTCTTTATTGGCACAAACAGTACTAGTTAAACCCTGTATTGTCTTCTGAAAACAAAGCTTAATTTATTCTTCTGTGTTCACACTGATAAGGGCGGTTGGCACATTGTGTTGTGGTTTATAGCGATGTTGTATTATCTGTGCCTTTTTACCGAACACATCCGATTTCATCAAAATGTTAAATAGTTACCTTTTATAACATACATAAAGGACAGTGGTCTACTCCCCCCCCTCCCCCCCCCCCCACACTCCCCACCCCCAAAATAGACCTCAGAACTCACTCACACAGGAAACAAATTTAATCTGAGATGACAATGTTTTTCCCATACATTTAAACTACAATGACACTATTTGTATTTCTAGTAACAGAAGAGCTGGTAAGGAAAAGAGCTGAACACAATGAGATGCAGATTTCAACACTTGAAGAAATTTCACTCCATCAGCAAGACATTGAAAGGTATAATTTAAAAATACTTATATAAAATGTAAATATTTGTGTCACATGTGCAATGGAGGTAGGCCGCAGTGAATACATGCATCTACTGCTCTCTGGGTGAATATTATGTGGTAAAGTCCTAATACTTTCCACAGTGATACCACTTTCCAAAAGTTTTATGGTGTCTAGCAACTGGTGTAAACAAATATTTTGTATATTATCCTGTAGCACTGCGGTTCTCAAAACCTGTGGGTTGTGACCCTTTTTTTTTGGGGGGGGGGGGGGGTGTGTGGTCAAACGACCCTTTCACAGGGGTCACCAAAGACCTTAAGAAAACATATATTCATTGACGTTATGGCTAGGGGGTCGTGACAACACGAGGAACTGGTAAAAAGGGTTGTGGCATTAGGAAGGTTGAGAACCACTGCTGTAGCAGGTCCTTTACAAAACATTGCCCCAATCAAAACCCATCTGAAAGAAAAATGTTGCTACAGAAAAGATGCACGCTATCAAAATGTTGACTTTGATTTGCTTCCTGGTGCTTAACCAAGGACTTTTAATGCTGTTTAATCTTTGCATTGCTATGGTGGCCACCCTTCTTTTAAATAATGTTGAAAAGTTTCAAGTACTGTTTATTATGGAGCCTAAATATTCACTTTTGTGACATTTGTTTATTTCTTTGTCATGTATTTTTTTTTTTTTTTTGGGGGGGGGGGGGGGGGGTGATGTGCAATTTTGTCTGTGTACATTATTCTTGTTTTCGTAAAATTCAGGGCTGCCTTGCAAAGGACTTTCTCAAGGAAATGCTTCCTGTTTATGCTGACAAATGTTTATATGTTTATCCTATAAAGTGGTACCTAGTCAGGTGAACAAAACCAAAAATTTGCAAGGTCGCTATGTGATTACTGATGAAGTCTTATTTAGTTATCCTGTTAAGATTGCGACATGTGCATCCATGCAATGGGTGGAGGGGATGATAAGAGGTGACAGGCAAGTAACAGTTGACTCTGTAGCAGCTGCAGTAGGGTGCTTATATATTTCAGTATATAACATAATGCTAGATCAATTTAAGTTTCAGAAAGTATGCTCAAGGTGGATACCCAGACAATTGACGGCTGAACACAAAATGAAACAATTAGGCCTGTCCTTGCAGCATCTCTGTCGATACACAGATGAAGGAGAATACATGCTGAGCAGGATTATTACTGGGGACGAATCATGGATGCATCACTACCAGCCCAAATCAAAGTGTGCTTCAGTGCAATGGAAACATCCTTCACCTTATGTTAACAATTTTAAGGTTACGCCACCAGCAGGGAAGGTTATACTGACAGTGTTCTGGGATTGTCAGGGAGTGCTTTTAACCACTTTGAAAAAAAAAGAGGTGACTGTGTGAATGCTGATTCATAATGTGAAGTTTTATCAATGCTTCCTGATGCAATTTGAAGAAAACATCCAGGCCTCCTGACTAGAGAGTACTGCTCTTTCATGACAATGCCAGACCAAATATGGCTTGGTTAACCCAGGAGAAAATTAACCATCTAGGGTGGGAACTTCTGGAACATCCACCTTACAGCCCCGACTTAGCCCCTAGTGATTTCCACCTTTTTGGTCCTCTGAAAACCAACTTGGCAGGAGACATTTAGCATATGACACAGAAGTTGAATGTGGATTAGAAAACAGAGTACACAGTTTTATGCAGCAGGTTTGGGAGGACTGATAAAACAATGGGACAGGTGCATCAGTATTAGTAGAAATTATGTTGAAAAATAAAGGGACAGTGTATGTGTAAAATAAAAATAAACTGTCATCTATGTTTTCTGTCCATCTTAAACAACCATTTGTGACTTACTTATTGACTTCCCCTCAAATATATACAGATCTTGAAGAGGTAGGATAAGAGATTGCATCTTTGCCTTACCCTCTTTAATACCTCAAACTGATTTGATGTTTCTCCAGCTACTCTGATGCCTGTTTGGTGTTCATGATATAAACTTTCAGTTAGATGCATCAAATGGGCTGGAAACTTCATACTTCTCACAATTTCCTGTACTGAACACAGCTGAACACATTGTTATAATCAGTAAAACCTTGAAAATCTCTCTTTACTTGGTAACTATGCCCCCCCCCCTTCCCCCCCCCTCCCTCCCACCACAATAAAATATCATACCAATGATACCTTTAATACAAAGTCAGAAAACCAGAGCGATGAATGAATCACAAAATTGTAAGGAATAAATCTATATTAAATGTTTATCATTATTACAGTTTTTATTATTTCTTCTGCCAGATTAGAACATTTGGACAAATGGTGCAGAGACCTGAAAATCCTCTATCTTCAGAGCAACCTAATTCCAAAAATTGGTATGTTAATCTATTTTCTTTTTACCAGCATTGCCATATGATACAAATTCCATACAATTTTTAATTCACAACTTACACATTGGCCCAATTATGTTTAAAATCAGCATAGACCCACTGCCTCTCTAACGAGCATGTCATAGGAGTCAGCTATTTGGGAGCATCCTTTGAAGTTTAAGATCATGTGCCTGATAAGCAAGAAACCAAAAGTATGCATTTAAAAAAAAGCCAGATCTGTAAAACAGATGTGCACACAACACCCAGGTTCTGGAACAAGACTAAAGTTCAGAGCTGAATAAACTCCCATAACTTTTCGCTGGAGTTTACAGCTGGTGAATAAGAAAAAGAAGCTGACAGGCAGTAATGACAGTTTTCTCTTGATTCCAAAGAAATCATAACATCAAATAATAGGATCACTCCCAGAACTTTCCACCGGAGTTTGTAGCTAGTAAACAAGAAGAAGAAGCTGACAGGCAGTAATGACAGTTTTCTTTTGATTCTCAAGTAATCATAACATCAAATATTTGAATCTGACTGATTAAGCCATGACTGGTATTGTTTTTATATTTATTTCAGAGCTTTCGTGTATCTCAGTGTCAATAGACCCTAATTCAGTACCCAGGAGAAAGTCAAATGGGGTGAAATATTGTGCTTACACTCTTCAACCTGTATTACATTTTTTCTTGGAAAATGAAACTAAAATTATGCACACTGTGTTATCTTAACAGTTATTTATTTCACTGCCAACTTAAGTATTTGAACAAAGAAGACACAAACAATAGATTGCATAATTTATTGCCTGGCATATTTTGCTGTATCTCGTTAGGTGAATACTATAGAAACAATTTTTAAAATGAATTAAATAAATGAAACCTTCAAACTGAAACACAAAATTGACTACATTCACACACTGTCTGTTTCATTAAGGTAACTGCAAAGTGATGAGCATTTCCTTCTGTCGGCAAAGTTCTGCTGACACTTATGCCAGTCAATAAATTGTGCAATCTATTGATTGTATTTTCTTTGTTCAAATTCACAAAAGGAAACATTGCTTCAATTTAAGCATTTGTAAAAATGTTTCCTTTGTAATGTGTTTATTATGTTGCAGAAAATGTGAGCCGCTTGAAGAAACTGGAGTACCTGAATCTAGCTCTTAATAATATAGAGAAAATTGAAAACTTGGAAGGTAGGATGGCAGTGTATTAAAAAACTGTAAGGTGCTCTCTTTAGATGTGTCTCGTGTATATAGTGAAATGTTTTGTATTTTTAGAAGGAAAATTAAGATTTTTGCATAAAGCAAAATCAATGTAAGGAGTAGCATATGCACACAAGTAAATAAATTGTGTACCATGCTGAATGGCTCAGGTGATCATGACTCAGTTTTCAGCTCAATAAAAGTTTTTGACTGCAGACAGCTGTTGTGCCATTTTGTCAAACCACTTAATTTCTCCATCAATAATTACATATCCTGATGGACTTGATAATGGATCACCTTTTCAGTCCATCCAGATTTTTTTTACTTATGTCCTCTCTCTCCTTTCTCTCTCTCTCTCTCTCTCTCTCTCTCTCTCTCTCTCTCTCTCTCTCTCTCTCTCTCTCTCTCTCTCTCTCTCTCTCTCTCTCTCTCTCTCTCTCTCTCTCTCTCTCCCCCCTCCCTTCTCCCCCCACTCTTGAACTCCAGATTTTCTCTGCTTCAACCTTTTTTGGAAATTCTAGTCTCACTTGCACAACCAAAAAACCAAATTTTTTTTTAATTTATACCTTCATCACCACCATGTCCAGATTTGGCCATCTCTGGAAGTTGATCTGATTCTTTTTATTTTTTTTTAATTTTTTAATTTATCAGATGATCACCTCATATTCTTAGCAAAAGACTACCTCTGAACTGTGTCCACCTCTGTAAGTTTTATGTTGACCAGATGGTGCACACCAAAGTAATTTACCCCTCTATAACTTGACCATCCTGGCTTAACCAGTGGTGTGTATGTTATTATTATTGTTGTATTAAATAATATATAAGAAATGCAAATGCTTAAAATGAGAATATGTAAACTGTATAATGTTATGTAAGGCCACTTAGCCTCCTCGCAAAGATGAATCTTTAATGTTATTTAATCCTTGCCGTCCTTTTTAGGATGCTGTTTTTCGCTATTTGAAGCCCTGCTCTGGCTCTTGCCAGGGGCCGCAATATAGCCCGGCCATAAATATGGTCTAATGGCTGAACGTGGTTTCTGGGACCTCTCCACGGTGATTCTCATCCACATGGTGGCACATTGTGTCATCGGGTGTTTGTCGCTTGTGTAATGTCCTGGTGGGGTAGAAAGTCAGTCAGATGAATCTTTTTTTTCATCAGAATAAATTATTAACTTTTCAGGATGACATTGTTTTTTCTGGTGTTTAGACAGCATTAACTTTAAGCTTAAACTTTTTTTGCTGCAACATGAGAAAGCACAAACCTTCCTGAAGAAAAACTATTGGCTGTATAGGGACATATAAAATATCAAATGAAAGAGAAATGAATATTGAGTCAATATAAACTATTAAAGTATTAGTATTACAACAAAAGTTATTAAAACCACACAACAATCATGAGTGTTAGACACACAATAAGATTACTGTGCAAGTGAAATGTTGCGCTTAGCTTACATTTTTACTTGTTCAACAAACACTGCTATCAATTTCTAAGAATTCACATGCCTTCTCTATTCAAGTATTAATCAGCTAGTCTTTATTTGAAACAATTAATTTAAATACTTTTGGATTCTATGACCATTTTTGTATGACATGTCAGATTTTAAAGCAAACAAATTCCAGACACATCTAATGGAAACAAAGATTATCTGATTGAAATATTTTGGTTTAACTTCATCCTAACCTTCATCATCGGCAATAAGTTTGGCACTTGCATTATCAATTATAATATTATGACTATTGTCACCTTTTTTCCTTATCATTTAGTCTGGAAAATCACATAAAAATTGTATCACACTAAATTAATTTGCCTTACCATGCTTGGAAAACTATAATACTTTCTTTTGCTAATTCAAATTTTTTTGGGGGGGGGGGGGGGGGGGGGGGGGGGTTAAACATGCTCATATAAATTCATTTTCCCAGTGAAAAAAACAGTATTAGGGTATCTCTATGGAGAGCCATTAAAGTGATGTTTCGTCTGAATATGATAGATTCAAAAGCCACTAAAGTGGCGATCCGCCTTAAAGAGTTAAGCCATGATAAAACAGGTGTTGATAATTTGGTTTTGTCGTAATATATGATTTCATATAATACTGTATTCTCCAGTATAATTTGTTAAAGGAAGTGTAGTACAATAGGCTCATTCTGTATAAGACCACCTCTGTAATTTGACTAGTTTGCTACAGTCCACTGGGTGGTGAACTTATAGAGGTTCTGATAGAGGTTCTGCTGTAGTGTCATCACCATTGTCAAATAATACTGTATGTTTAAATATTAAATATATTTTTTTTTCTCCCACATAAACAAAAGACAGTGCTCTGTAAATAAACATATAGGAAAAAAAGCAGATTTCTGTAAATATACTGATACTAATCATAGGCAAGGTTATTTTTTTTCTGATTATAAGGTATTAAAAATCCTCTAAATCTAAAATATTAATCACTGTCGTCAAACTTTACATTTGATGTTATGCTTAGTAAGGAGCACCAGTTTGTGGTCTGGTGTGGGATGTGCAGCATTACTGGCTAATCATGTCAGTGTGTAATGTCTTTAGTTCCATCAGTACATCTTCAGCTTGAACATCCTCTTGCTCTCATATCAGATCTTTTTCGGTGAAGCACCTGTGTTGGTAGTTGTTATGGCTGCATTTTTACTAGATGACCAAACCATTTGTTCTTCAAATGTACAAACCTAAAGTTACTGCTATAATGCTGCTACATATCAGTGTCACTTGTGTTTCAGGCTGTGAGTCACTGAAAAAGCTGGATCTCACTGTAAACTTTGTAGGAGAACTTACGTCTGTTGAATGTTTGAAGAATCTATATAACTTTCGCGAACTGTAAGTCTATTGTCGTCTGCTTATTTTAAACTGTATTTGTCAATGAAAGTCTGTTTTTAAGACATGTTTTTCACCTAGGTGATTTTAATTTTGGAAAAGGAATAACTGTTAAACATACATTATTTTGCATTGTAATTTTAAGAATGTTATTATCTGCTTATGTTAAACTATATATATGTCAATACATGTTAATTTTAAATCAAGTTTTTACCGAAGTAATTTTAATTTTGGAAAAGAAATTGCATTGAACATGCATTGTATTAGCTGTTGATATTTTTATTTATAAAATAATAACATTGTAAAATTAAGTATTATGATTTAACTAGTGGTAGCCTTCTCATTATATAGCCAGCTTAGTCACTGGTATTTGGATTGTTATAAAAACTATTAATGTCTCAAAGAGTTTACCATACATATAAAAGTGTTAATGTTTTCATTTGTTTGCAGGTTTCTGACAGGGAATCCATGTGCAGATTATGAACATTATAGAAATTTTGTTATTGCAACCCTTCCACAGTTGCAGGTATGAAATAATACGGTTTGTTATTTATGTTTCTGCCTTAGCTTTCACTAATCATGGTTGAAATAAATTGTCTTATATGTTATGTGATCCACTGTGGCCTTACCTTATTTTCACCTACATTACATTTTGTATTGGTTGCTTTCATGTCTGTTAAATGAGTAAATCAGTTCTCTTTAAATCTCTGCACATTATTATTAACCACTAAGATATTTCAATTTGGTTAATTAATTTTAACCGATAATAAAGGTTAGGATGAAGTTGAACAAAAATATTTAAATCGGAACATCTTTTTTTTGGTTCATATGTGTCCGTAATTTGGTTGTTGTGAAATCTGACATGTCATACAAAAATGGTCAGGTTTTTTTCTGTTTTTTTTTTAAAACTCTTTCAGTCCCAAACAATGTGTGAAGTGTTCTTGGCTCTACTCTTAATCTTAGCCAACATTGAATGTATTCTCGTAATGCATACATTTGATCATAACATACTAAAGAAATTAGGCTTCCTCACTACTTAGCTTCTTTAAAATTACTACGCTAATGGGTTTTCCTAGTGGTAATGTATACACTTGAGTATCTCATGTCAAACCTTCTAGTACTCACTGAGTTTATCAGATAATGGTTAAACATAATTTGTAGGGTGAATGAAAACAAAGATGGTGAATGCAAACTGTGGTAAATAATGTATTTCTTTCTTTTTTCTTCACTTTCTCATTAATCATGCTAGTTTTTTTTTAGTGAGAACAGGGGCCTGATAATAATTCTTCTGTTAGCTACAACCAGAGACAAAAAAATAGTGATTTGCAAAGGTTTTTGCTTTTTCATCTGGAAATTTGCAAGTGTTTTTTTTTTTTAATGAAGTGTTAAGTTGAGGATATGCTGTGAAATTCTGTTAATTTGTTGCAGTTTACAGCAAGCAAATCTGTTTTGCTTTCACATTTTGACATATAATTTGGTGTAAATTTATGTTTCACATATAATTGGTGTAAATTTATGTTTCACATTTCATTTGGTGTAAATTTATGTTTCACATATAATTTGGTGTAAATTTATGTTTAATTTATAATTTGGTGTAAATTTATGTTTCAGTGGCTGGATGGTATTGAGATTGAGAGGTCAGAAAGAATTAAAGCTATTCAGGTAATATGAACATGTGGCTATGTAAACATACAGACAAGAAAGCAGACAGATAATTACTAGAACTTAGAAATGTATCTTTATGTGTATGACACTTTTTCTTGCATTTTTTGTCTTATTTTGAAGACAAAAACACTTTATGTGATTTATGTTTTCTTCACACCAAATAGTCCAAGAGAATAGATCCACAGCTCTGAAACAAGCATGTTGTAATGACTGCCATATTGAAAACACTTTATCCTGATTTGTATTTTCTTCGTACATCAGACATAGTTACTAAAACGGGATGTGTTCATTTTCCTGTGACTAGCTCATATTCTGTTAATTACACCAGGGTCCTAATCATATCATAACATGAATGTGTTGGATCAACAATGAACTCTTAGTCTTGTCCATTTTCAGGTTATTATGGTATGACATGTATTATTTGATTGTGTACCTCCTTGAATCAAATTCTTTATAATGAAGTAATTTTTGTTTTAGTTATTATATATAATATTTTTGTTCCAGAACCTACCTTACATCAGAGGAAGAATTTTAGAGCAGCAGGAATCTTACAGAAAGAAAAGGGTTGGTTTTCATGTGTTGTCTCTATATACTTATAAAAAGATATAAAACCAAACAAAAAGTAGACCAGTGAGCTTCACTATGTAAAAAAACACAAGCAGAAAGTGAATGTTGCAGCTAAAGAGACTTCATCATCACATTACATTAATCAACAAAACCACATGTACAGACCCAAATACACAAAATTACTTAACTGATGTATTTCCAGTGGTAGCCACTTTGTTATGTGGTCTCCAAGATCAAGGTCTATACTTATTAGATCCTATACTTTCAAGATTTACAGAAGTACAATGGCTAGATGCTTAACTGCCTGCCTTAGTTTGAGTGTGCATTTAGGCAGATTTTTTTTAATAACTGAATTTTGTTTCTAGGTTAATCCATTCTAAAATACACATCAGGAATAGCTTTGAAGTAAAAATGGCATGCTTAATATTATTCACATCATCCATGTGCCTACCAGTTAATCCAACTACTTTTGAACAAGATGAACGCAATGAACTATGTGGTATTCATACTTACTTCACTTCTCAAAGTCCAAATCCACATCCACATCATGAGAGGTGGTAAACAAAGTAGGCGATTGCTAGGATCAGATGAAGTATGGTGTGGCCTTGTGCCACAAGGCTGCTACAGTATTCCTGAAGGTGATCCTGGGTCACCCTGAAACATCCTGGGTCACCCCAAAACATCCTGGCATGTGGGGCTCTGGTGAAGTTGCAACAGGAAAGCCAGTAATGGATCTATTATCACTACAAAAAATGCACTGAGATATAAACGGACTGATCAAGCAAGAAAAAAGAACCTTATATCTCCCTCAACACCCGGAGTGGTAAAAGCAAATTTGAAGAAGAATACTTGAGAGACTTTTTTTAAATTATCTGTGCCATGTGGTATTGTTCATCATATCTGTTAAAGCCTACAAAGTAATAATTTACTTTATAGATCTTCTTGTTGAATAACTTTTGAGAACAGTCCTGCGACAAATGTTTGAACCTCTCATAGATGCAAAGAGCTAAGAGTGGGAAGCAACAATGAAATTCATAATCTCTTTTCATCACCACTGATTACTGACACCATGAGGGCTAATGGACTGCAATGCTAAGGACATATAGAGAGAAAGGCAGACAACAGAGAGACAAAACTGCACACACCAAAGAGCTGAAAGGGAGTAGACCATAAGGCAGATCAAGAAGATAGGGAAGAGGTCATATAAAGGCTCACCTACAAATCTGTGGAGTCACCACTTGGAAAGAGTAAGCCAGTCACAGAAATGAGGGGAGTTGGGCGCACAGAAATGAGGGGAAGTGGGCGCACAGAAATGAGGGGAAGTGGGCGCACAGAAATGAGGGGAAGTGGGCGCACAGAAATGAGGGGAAGTGGGCGCACAGAAATGAGTGGAAGTGGGCGCACAGAAATGAGTGGAAGTGGGCGCACAGAAATGAGTGGAAGTGGGCGCACAGAAATGAGTGGAAGTGGGCGCACAGAAATGAGTGGAAGTGTGCGCACAGAAATGAGTGGAAGTGGGCACACAGAAATGAGTGGAAGTGGGCACACAGAAATGAGTGGAAGTGGGCGCACAGAAATGAGTGGAAGTGGGCGCACAGAAATGAGTGAAAGTGGGCGCACAGAAATGAGTGGAAGTGGGCGCACAGAAATGAGTGGAAGTGGGCGCACAGAAATGAGTGGAAGTGGGCGCACAGAAATGAGTGAAGGTGGATGATATCTGCAGCAGTGAACCTTTGAGGATGAAAATGCTGAAGAAGAAGAAAAGGAAGATCTTCCAGAATGCCATGATACCAGACCATCTAATATCTTCTCTCTTGGTCTGCCCCTGCCTCTCTTCTACTTTTTCTTTATCTATATGTCTTGATATATTCCAGCTTTTCCTTTTCTCATGATGTGTGTAAAGAATGTGGACTCTTTTCTAATGCAGATAACCAAATATCTTTGTGATTTAATCTCCTTTGGAACATCGTATTTATACTTTTTATCTGTTTATGGTGAGTTTTTCTTCTTCTGGTCAAGCACAAGCAAGGAAATCAATTCCAGAAATTTAAGGGTATATATCTTTCTTGTAGCAACATACAGATGTGAGTCGTGGACTATCATGCAGTCATGAAAAAAATGACAGCTTTTGGACTGAAATGCTAAAGAAAGATTCTCAGAACAAGCAAGGAAATCAGTTTAAGAAATTTAAGGGTATATATCTTTCATGTAGCAACATACAGATGTGAGTCGTGGACTGCCATGCAGTCATTGAGAAAAAAAGAGCTTTTGGACTGAAATCTAATCTTTTGTTCTCCAAAACGAAAGATTCTCAGAACACCATGGACCAAGAAGAAAAGAAATGCTGACATACTAAAAGATCTGTACTTAAAAAAAAAAGATTGGCTAGTAAAAATGATTTTGTCTTGGAAATTGAAATATTTGGGCCAAATGAAGCACCACAGTGCACTGAAAAGAATAGTAGCAGACGGCATGGTGCCAGCATCAGGATCAGGAGTCCAGCACCCTGAAGATGGGCACAGGATTTAAGTGACACCTTGGACAGGAAAGTGCATAGGGTGGGAAATCTGGTGAGAGACTGAGTTTCTTTCAGGAAGGTTGTGACAAGAGACACCTTCTGCAAAGGACCTGCTACATGATGATGATGATGAAAGTGTGTGTGTGTGTTTTTTTTTTTTTAAATCATTCTATCAAATCAAATTTCTGTGTTTTAAGGTTTTACAAATAATAATGTTTTGTTTTCAGTAAGGAACACCTTAAAATTATAACTTTCCCCCAGTTCTAGGACATATATTTTAGGGGACAAAAGAAAACATCCACTGCCCCATAACAAGCATGTTGCAAGAGGCTGTTAATTATAGTTTTGCTGAAATTAGATTTATAGGACTGAAAGGCACAGATATCACAGCCTAGCTATTGTTGTTGTTGTTGTTATCGATCCAGTGGCGCATGAGCTTTCACCCTTTGGCCCAATGCCATGTAGTGGAATTTGCAAGTTTTTACAACTTGTTCTTTTCCTCCGTAAAAGACGTTCTACTTGTCTGGTCTTGGAGGGAGTAGCATTCTTCTAGTCTCGCTGAGTTTTGGGCACTCAAGGAGATGATGTTCAACAGTTTCGTAGGGGTAGTTACATAGCTGGCACTCTGGGGAGTGTTGTGGCTGTATTCTGTTTAGATGTCCATTCAGTGGAGTATGTTGCATTCTAAGTCTGAAGATGGTGGCTTGGTCCCTTCTTGTTAGATGGTTAATGCTGTCATTAGGATCAGGGCCAGCCATATGTCTATAAACCTCTCATCCAGTGTCTCCCATGGCCCATCTGTTCAACCAAGTCTCTTTGTTTATAGCTCTTATAAGAATTTTTGCTGTCTGTAGGGTTGTCGCTGTATGTGGTTGTTCTTGTGTTGCTCCTTTCTTTGCCAATCTGTCAGCTCTGTCATTACCTGGTGTGCCGGAGTGGCCTGGAATCCACTGCATTACTATTCTGATGTTGTATGAGGTAATAAACTGATCAGCATCCAGGATTATCTTGGCTATGTCAGTTCTGCAGCGTTCACTGCTCTCCAGAGCTTGAAGGGCAGACATTGAATCTGTAAAGATGACAATATTTTGGACCTTTAAAGGGTAAACATCCATTACAGTCTTTTGGTGGTATACTGCTGTTTCCAGTGCAATTATTTCAGCTTCATAATTTGAACAGAATTCCCGGCATGCATCAAAAATCTCTTCAACAGATCCATCAAGATAACCTATGTAGATTCCATAACCTGCTTTAATGGTAGCTTTAAATGCAGATCCATCAGTATAAACATGTATCCATTCTTGGGGGTAAGAATCAACGGTCTTTAGTGATGAGTTCATAAGAGCGATTGGGTCGGACTGTTTGGTTTCCTCGCCTACCAATTTAATTCGGACTTCTGGAGCTTTAAAGCGAGCATGTGGTGGTAGGTTTTTTGCAACATTCTGAATGCCTTGACGTCTTTCTGGGAGGTGGTATCTGTCCTGAATTTCATTAACACAGTGTAAAACCGATTTGTGCTTTATTCTTTGTTTATATTCCCAGTTTTCTACAAGGTGTCTATTAGGATGGTTACGATTCTTTCTAACGCATCTTTCATAAATTTCTAAAGTGGCTTTTTCTCTCCGCAACCCGAGGGGTTCCACATTTGTATGGATTTCACATGCAGCAGTTGGTGTAGACTGCATAGCTCCGCAGATTAATCGGAGGGCATTATTTTGTACTCTGTCCAGAGTCTCTTAGTTTTGGAGCAGGTTGTAAGCAGTGAGTTGTTGTACTCTATCACAGAGCGAACATATCCTAGATATAAGCCCCTCAGAGTTTCCTTGTCTGATCCCCATAATGTACCTGCAAGTCTCTTTAATAACTGTAACCGCCTCAATGCCTTATTCCTTACGTTTTCAATATGATTCTTGAGGCTGAGATGCCGGTCAAGTGTGACTCCAAGGTATGTAGGATGCTCTTCTTTCATCACTTGGTGTTTGTCTAACCTCAGGTTAATATTCTTGCTTGCTACTTGATGGCTTTTGGTAAAGACTGTGTAGACCGTCTTTGCACAGTTAACCTTGAGTTTCCATCTTTGGCAGTACTCATGCAGTCTTCTAAGGTCTCCATTTAGTTTTTGGGCTCCACTTTCCACATTTTCATGACTCTGCCATATTGCTAGGACAGCCTAGCTGTAAACTACAACACAACATACCAACTAACCTTTTAAGAGCAAACACAGAAGCAAGCAGAAGAAATAATAACTCATTAATGTCTACTCTTTCACATTAACAGGCAAAGCAAAAAGAAAAATCCCAGAATGTAAATAAAGGAAATGCAGTGAATAGCCATGAGAATGATGAGAGCAGCTATGACAGTGATAATACCAGGGATGAAACAAATGCTCATGGAGTTCCAGGAGACAGCAACAAAGAGAACAGGCCAGGCTTCAATGGAAGATGGTACACAGATATAAATGAAGGGTTAGCCATGACTGGTTTTTTTACTTTGTTGTTACTTTAAGGCATAAGGGTTCCGGGGCCCCGTTTTGGAGAATAAATTATTAGATTCACTGCTTACTCCCTCCCTCCCCCCACCCCCAACAAGCATGTTGTAAAAGTTGACTAATTGATGGGGTTTCTTTGAAGTGCACCTATCTGCCTGAGAGAAGGAAGAAAGTAAAATTGTGTATACAAATAAGCCAGATCTGTCAAACAGATGTGCAGACAAAACTCAAGTCTTGGAACAAGGCAAGAGTCCAGAAATGGACAAATAACCAGAACTTTCTGCCACAGTTTACAGTCTGTGACAGCTCTAAGAACAATGCCATGTTGGAGTGGGTGACATGTTGTGGTTATATTTAAGCAGTGACATCTGCACCTTTCACCTCAACATATCTGATTTTGGCAAATTCTTAATTAGTCGCCTTTTACAACACGCTTGTTAAGGAGCAGTGGATCTGCACCTCGCTCCCCCCCCTCCTTACATAGGTATTCTGGAACCCTCTTAGGGATCGTTTTTCTTCCTGAGCATAGATATCTGGTAAGATCTCGACTTATCCTTCTTTTCAATGGCTTTAATGAATACAGAACAATCTTATGTATTAATTTCTAATGTAATCTTTAATCAAGCTTTAGATATTGTTACATTTAATTTAAATGAATGGCTAATTGCCTCTTTTATAAACTTTGATCTGGTAATCAAGAATTCTCTGAGATTTTTGACAGCCAAGCAAGACGGTTTAAAAAAAATGGAAAATTCACATGAAGTTGTAGAGAAACTTGATTGCCCAAGCAAATTAGCAAGATGATGATGAAGGAAATTATGCTGACATTATTAACAAAATGTAACTGAAATTACTTTATTACTTTAAAATTTTATTTTATTTACTTTCAAAAGAAATTTTCTGCTTATATTTTGATTTATTTAATTTGTTTATAATTATATTATGTAAACACTATTATTTTCAATACATTTTGGGCATTCCCAAATATATATAAATATATTAAACATTGTGTTTCAGAGACAAAAGGGCAAGTGAATGTAAACAGACAAAAGAAGATGATAAAACTGATGAAGAAAAAAATGCTGAGTAAGAGAACTGTTTTAGGGAAAATAAATAAAGTATATTGATAACACATATTGCTATTTGATAATAACCATTACAGCCACAGTGAACAGCTCATCTTCATCCTTATCCTCCTCAGCATAATCATCGTTATCATCATCTTTTGCCTTTAAGCTTCATATAAGGCTTGCAGTTTGTTCTTCCATTTCGATCTATCACAGGTGATTATTTCAAAACCATGTATAGAATCCAAACCAGCATCATGTCTTCTCTTATCAACATTCATCTTAGGGTTTGAGACATGGTGTGTGCAATCTAAAAACCAAACTTAGAATTTATTTTTGAGCCAGATAGTGTGCATGTCTTGTCACTGACTTCTCCAGAGTGACTTTTATCAGCAAACATCTTACATGCACTGCTTGTACACACATGCTACTTGAATAACTAGTTTGCCAGAATGGCTTCCTATTGTTTTTACGGGTGGGTTAGCCTAGTCCTACCTCCTCATTCGGACTTGAGACTGGCAGTGGCGTAGGCTCTTCATCATGTAGAAATCCTTCGCAGTGTGTCACTCATTGCATCTTGCTGTAAAGTCTCTTCATCTATTCCTGTTCTCCTGCCTCATGTGTGCTTAGACTGTTTTTAATGTTCTGTGCCCATTACCATTTTAACTGACTTGTGCCTTTTTTATCAAAGATATATTCCATCCATTAATTTTCTTTTTCTTAACTAATGTGATATTTAATATGGTCAAAATATTTAAGTTTCCTCAACATTATGCAGTTTTTTAGCTAGTTCATAAGTGATATTTAGGTGCTGTTCGATTTCAGTATTTTTTTTTTCAGTCACAACGATATACAAATTTATCCATAGATTGCTTGTTTTTCTTCAGTCTCAGAAAATGGTCCATGATACACATCCCTCTATTGTCACAAAAAGATGTAGTTTCTCAGTTTTTAACTTTAATTTGTATGCTGTTATTGTTCTGTCAGTCCTCAGTAATGTTTAATCTCTGTATTGCTATGATTATGCTATGATTATTATCCTTTTTACTTCTGTTGAATGGTTCCCTTCCTCTTCTTTGTATTCACTGTTTTAAGCCTTTGATGTTAATTGCTGCAGATATCTACTGCCTCTATTAATCTCTCTGACTTTTCTCTTTTTAGTAGGTTACTCAAAGTTTTTCTATCTCTCCACAATCTTCTTGGTCTGCCTCTGGCCAATGGCACACCTTTTTTGTCCCTAGAGACTGACAGTTGCCTACAAACAAGACTATTTTCAAAATGTTGCAATAAGTCATATCATGATGTCAGTTTTAAATCCATCAGCAATTGAGGCTTAAAAAATTAAAATAGTTTCCACTGTTCCTAATTATAAGACCAAAGTAATTGAAGTCTGAGACTTTGAACGTGCTCGCATGTCTAATATTAGACATCACATACTGAATTAGTTAAAATATGATAATAATTTCTTTTTCTTTAACTTGTACAAACTTAAACACAGATTCTGGAATCAGAAGACGGGATACACACCTGAAAGTAGAATAGAAGTGCACAATTATATGAAAGAACTGAAGAAGAAAGAAGAAAAACAGTATGTATATTTTATTCATGTTGTGTTTTTTATTGATATACTACATTACAAATATAATGTTGGTTTTCTATAACAGTTGGGCATCTGTGACTTAAGCATTACAAACACACTTCCAAGGTACCGAGTTACACCCCCACTGTAGGCAGTCTGGCAGTAGTATGCCATGTGTTGGTTTTGATAGTGGTATCGAAAACCGACCATTCAGAAACCACATTTGATGTAGTAACTAGATTTTTGCCTGCTGGCCTTAAGGTCTATGAGTGACTACAGCTAACCAGTTTGAGAAAAAAAAATAGTCTGACTAAAACTAAAATGGGTACCAGGAAATCTCTTGGGAAGTAAAGATGACCTTTGTGATGGTGATCCACACTACCCATTAAGTTCCAGTAGGTCTATAAAAATATGAGTCTGGCATGATATGCCTTAAGGCAGGCCAAGTGAATGATTATGCAACAGATGGCCTCTGTAATACTGCCTAGGCTTTGTGCTATTGAGAGAAGGAACTTCACCTTGTCTTAATCAGTCATCGCATCCAATAGTTATATCGTGAAAGTCATCCCCATGTAGGATGCAACTTTTTTTTTTAAATCCCCACCATGGCTTCTGCCGGCTGACCTGAATATAGCCAGGGCAGAGATATGGCCTAACGGCTGAAAGGGGTTTCTGGGGCCTCTCCACTGGTGATCTTCATCCGATGGTGGCACTTTGTGTCACCAGGTGTTAATCGCTTGTGTGATGTCCTGGTGGAGTACAACTACTTAACTACCTTGTCTAAATGGGTTAAATGGGTTGTGGTTCCACTGTGTCACTATAGCATAATATAATACTGTGTCTGGAAAGATGGAAATGAACAACAAAGCATATGAAGAATGACATCATTAAAGTATGTTAACTGGTACACATGAAGAAGAGCCCAACACTCATGACATGGTAATTAATGTGCACACAAAATGGCCACCCACACATGCCTTATTAATTATTACACAAGAAAACAGAACTGTCACATATGTCATATTAATTATTACACAAGAAAAAAGAACTGTCACATATGTCATATTAATTATTACACAAGAAAACAGAACTGTCACATATGGCATATTAATTATTACACAAGAAAACAGAACTGTCACATATGTCATATTAATTATTACACAAGAAAACAGAACTGTCACATATGTCATATTAATTATTACACAAGAAAAAAGAACTGTCACATATGTCATATTAATTATTACACAAGAAAAAAAGAACTGTCACATATGTCATATTAATTATTACACAAGAAAAAAGAACTGTCACATATGTCATATTAATTATTACACAAGAAAAAAGAACTGTCACATATGTCATATTAATTATTACACAAGAAAAAAGAACTGTCACATATGTCATATTAATTATTATACAAGAAAACAGAACTGTCACATATGTCATATTAATTATTACACAAGAAAAAAGAACTGTCACATATGTCATATTAATTATTACACAAGAAAAAAGACCAATCACACATGTCAAATTAATTATTACACAGGAAGAATAGGCAATCACACATGTCAAATTAACTATTACACAGGAAGAATAGGCAATCACACATGTCAAATTAATTATTACACAGGAAGAATAGGCAATCACTCATGTCAAATTAATTATTACACAGGAAGAAAAGGCAATCAATCATGTCAAATTAATTATTACACAGGAAGAATAACCAGTCACACATGTCAAATTAATTATTACACAGGAAGAATAGCCAATCACACATGTTAATTAGGATAACAAAGTTTATACTGTAATATTGCTTTCTGCTGCTCACTTTTTAATTTTTTTTTATTCTAGGAGTGAAACAGAAACAGTACGACCTAGAAGATTATTTTCTGATGATGGACGCCCTTTTAATGTTAATGAACCAAAGTGAGTACAGAATTGAAGCTTATAATTATGAGAAACAAATGTCTAAAGAGAATCCTGTGAATATTTTGGCCAAACAAGACCACAAATAAAGAACTCAAGAGGAAAACAAAATGTTTATCACTGATGAACTTTTTCAAAGGAAGGAGATGGAGGTGGCTTGGACATGTTTGCAGAATATCTTGTAATATTTTGGCACGGACAGCTGTCTGATGGACAGCAAATGGTTAAAATCAGATGTGGACAGCCTAAGGAAAACGTGGAGAAGGAAAGTAGAAAGGGAAAGGAAGGAATGCAAAATGGCATGGGATGCCACATGCACAAAAGAGGCAGACTGGTTGCAGTGAAGATTTTTTGTGGATGCTTTAAGGGTCAACAGTGGCAAGAAGAGGATATAGATTTGTTAAAAATGTAACACAAAATGAAAAGACAAAGAAAATGGGCCTAAGTGACAGGTAAAATTATTGGTACGGAATTCACCCCATTTTGCTCACGTTTGAGATCACATGCCTGTTCCAATGGGCTGTCCTATCTTCTAGAGCTGTTATGAGGTGCATCTTTTTGGTGTCTGTACACAGTGTGGTGAAAAATTACTGGCATTCAATCGACGAGGCAGACACACTGTCTCCCAGACGCAGCTGCACAACTTCATTTTTACTGCTGTCTTTTGTGTGAACAAGTGTTGTTTCTGGAATGTGTTGATGTTGTGAGTAGCTCAGGCACCACAGGTGCCTGTGTATATGGAGGAAGTAATGCAAAAGGAAGCACTGAGGGTACCATGGTTTGTGAGTAACGATCATTGTTTTGTGTTTGTGTGTATGTGTGTGTGTGGTATTTTTATGCTCATTGGTGGTGGCTATCGTCGGTGGTGGATGTGCTTGGAACCTTCAAGACAATCAAAACTTGATACCCTTCAAGACAAGCAAAACTTGAAACCCTTAGAATATAAGACAGTCTAAGAGAATGGCCATGAGATCTCAGATGCAAGCGACATGCAATGAATTCCATGATTAGTACCCTGAATCCTAATAATAAGCATACTATGATATACTTTGGAGGAGATTGTTAAAGCCATGCAAGGAAGTGATCTTCTTCTTTAGTCATTTACCCTCAAGTGGAGTCTAGTCACTTAACAACTTACACTGTTCTGATCTTTGCTATTGCAGGCAGCTCACCTAAGTAATTATTTTAGACTTGTCCATAGTAGGTTGGTTTTTATGGCTGTTATTTTTTTTATGGGATGATGTGACCAACCTGGTAGAATGCAGTATTACTATTTTTTGCTTCCCATAAGTGGTAACATCTGGTAACACATGGGCAAAGGAAGAGATAGACCAGGTAATTGTAGGAAACTGACATCAAGAGGTAAAGAGAATATTTGTTCAAATTAATATTGTCCTGACATCTTTTTCTTTTCAGGGTTGAATTTTCTCTGACAGAGGACAATGAGAATATTATTTTAGATGTCGCTGTCTTTAAGTAAGTTTGATAACAAATTTCATATTTTTTTTTGCAACAAAGTTTTGTGATGTTTTGTAGAACAGCCTGTTAGACTCTCTCTGTCTCTGTCTCTGTCTCTGTCTCTCTCTCTCTCTCTCTTTCTCTCTCTCCTCTCTCTCTCTCTCTCACACACACACGCACATATAGATACACACATGTGCACACACACACACACCTACACAGACACATACACACACAAGAAAATACATGTTCTAAATATCACTTAGTTTATTTTCCTAAAATCTCTTCTGGCAATATGGTATCAAAACATTTTTATTCTTACCGATGCTTCAGAGTTCATACACAGTTTTGAGAATCTTCTTTTGTTGACCAAAGGAAAAAAGTGCTGAAGCACTGAATGCAATGAAAGTGATATTTTGCAAACCAGATTGCATGTTCTCTTGCCCTAAGCGTCAATATCTGTTGTGTTTATACAATCTGCTGTCCATTGCAGATCTTTCTTTATACTCGTTAGTAGTTTTCGGTGTGGCTGCTGCTTTCAGCAAGTACAAGTTTCAAACGGGTTGGTAGATAGAACAGGTCTGAAGGGAGTGTTCTGAGGTTTGCAGTAAGTTATCCACATTCGGTCGGAGATATGTGGCTGAATGTGGCGGTTCAGATGCATTTGCCTGTGGCAGTACCCTTTGCTTTGTCCAAAGATAGTAGTTTTCGTGTGTTGTAGGAATTATAGCATTAGTCTTTTGGTGATGAATTATACTGGTTAAACCCCTGTCTCATACAAATGTTTAATTATTCTTTTCATTGTTTGAGGTGGGATGTAAGTGTAGAGTCTGTGTGTTGCCATATTTGATAAGTTTGATTTCTTGTCACTGGAAAGATCACACTCTGCTGCACATATTATAGAACAGTCACTATAATCAACACCCAACGAAACAGAACAGGCCGCACATGGGAGCAGAGTAGTATAGAATAGTTACAATGATACAGTTTTAAAGGTTGAGGCATCCTTTTTTAAATGTGAATTTTTATGACTTGTAGTTTTTCTATGCAAAAATAAAATTCTCACATGCACAGTCGGTGGCAAAAGCACTAGCCATGTAGCTGTAAATTCTTAGACTCAAAGACCCCTCTGCCTGCATCGCAAAAGTGGTATAAAAAAGGCAGCAATTTGAATTTTTGGGCAGTTATTCTATGATGAGTAATTTATTGCAAGATTCTGCAATATTTTTGTCAGGCACATGGATACTTCACTGGTAGACTGTGATGTCCAGCCTCATTTTGTGAAGGTGACATTGAAAGGAAAGGTAAGTCAAAGTTAGCAATAATATATGAAATAAACGGTTCTGAAATTATTTTTTTTAACTGAAACAAGGAATTAATTTTTTTTTAAATCATAATTTTAGAAACAGAAATGTTTGTATATGGTCTATCACAAAGAGGTTCAAAACAGTGTCATATTATATTATATGCAGTTCTATTGTTAAAACTGAGTTTACTCATCATGCCAAATCATGTGTACAAATTAACACAGTTATATATTCTTCTTATATGTATATTATCTCTGTGAGAATGGAGAGGGGAGAGCCTTGCATTGCCTTTTTTTAAACAAATATATAGCTAAAAGCAAATTATTAAGGGTTTGTTGAAATAAGATGTGCTGAGCCAAAAGGTGTAGACTTGCGGCCTAGCTGTAAACCACAACACAATGTGTCATCTGCCCTTATAAGGACAAATGCAAAAAATTTATGAAAGTTTTTATGTGAACATGTAATTTATTTTTTTAACCTTTTCGCCCCCTAAGAAAGCTGTAAAGAAAAAGCCTTTTCCAAAATGAAATGCATCCAGAAATTAGAGGAAGAGAGTGGTGCGGTGATTTATGTCACAGGCGTGAGGGGAAGTTAAGTCCAACATGATGTGTATAAGGAGATACTCCGTACGTCACTCGGGCGCCAGTCCTTCACTATCCTGGTTGTACGGAACCTCACGCAAGACCCCTGCAGCACGTCCTCATCGTGCGCCACGGATAATGTCTCAAATTAGCATTAACAGAGCTGTCAGGGGATCTCAGAGTTTGGCCACACAAATCAGGCAACGTCTCGACCCACACAAAACAATGGCCAGTCATCCTAGAAATAGGCCTGATGTCTTCCTTCGAAGTCGGATTACAGCTGCCCATGAGGCAGGGAACAGTAAAACAGTTGTACACGCAAAAATCAGGTCTAGGTGAAAGCCAAAAATCCAAGCGGACGATTAACCGGGACCTTTCGCCGGAATTCACAGCCGGTGATCGATAAAAATAAAAAAAAATAATTAAAAAAAAAAGAGGAAGAGAATAAGAAGCAGAAGAAATGTGGAGTCTTGGTCAGTTTATTATCAAGATATATGCCTTCTTCTCTCTCCATTCCCTCGTCTTCTCCTCTCCCACTCTCTTGGCTGCTTGTCATGTATCAATTGATGCATGATGAGCTAGATGTTATAAGGACCCTCTGGGGGTGAGTTTACTGTGAGGAAGCATAGATGGATCATCAAAGTCTGAGGAGAATGTTACTGCAAGGAGCAACCAGGGGATCTGACTGCAACATTCAAGGGAAAAGTGAGATGGACATACAGTCATATTGTTACTGGTACCATCAGAATTGGAACTCTGCGCTTGCTGCTGAAGATGGAGATAGAGCGCTTATGGAAATTTCCCGAGTGCTTATAAAGATCCAGGAGGTTGAACCCCTAGACCATTAGGCAGACAGACTTGAACCCCTAGACCACCAGGCAGACAGACTTGAACCCCTAGACCACCAGGCTGACAGACTTGAACCCCTAGACCACCAGGCAGACAGATTGAACCCCTAGACCACCAGGCTGACAGACTTGAACCCCTAGACCACCAGGCTGACAGACTTGAACCCCTAGACCATGAGGCAGACAGACTTGAACCCCTGGACCACCAGGCAGACAGACTTGAACCCCTAGACCACCAGACAGACATGTGTGGTCCACAGCTACATAATGAGCATCAGACTCCAGCAGAAAACTCTGATTGTCCACCTCTGGAGTTTAGTCTTATTCCAATCTTGAGTGTTGAATTTTACGGATCTGGCTTTTTTGTGGGCAGATATTGGTTCTTTACTTCTCAGGCAGATGCTGTCCGAGTTTGAAGAAACTCAAACCTGTCCACACTGGTCAGAACTCCCAGTTGGAAAATGTGATTAGGATGACCACTGAGAGGTATAGATCAGTGTTGATCAGTCTGAGTCCTGATTCTGCCACGAAACCATTGTAAGAAAGCTGGCTCAATTTAAATATAGCTTGTTTACTCTGGAACAAATACAGCTTTCAACAGTTGACAACACTGGAACGCCCACCGAATTCCCGTATGCATTCTGCCAGTTTATTTCTCCTATTCCAACACAATTAATCAATCACAATCATCGCTGTTCACTTCCACAACTATGCCACAATAATCATTTACTCAACGTTGACTACACTTAATTCAAACTACATTGACGACATCACAACTATCTTCTTCCAACTCTGGTACACAACTAACCATGAGTCAACCTCTGACATTTTTCCTCATTTACCTTTCCAGCCCCAAGTATCTCATGCAGTCGTTTGTCACACAGATTTTCTGCTTGACTTGCTGTGAGCGTGCAGACCATGCAAAGCAGGGTCATGACAACCATGTGTAGTGGTGCACATCTGTATCCTGGCTGAGTTTACTGTATATTTTTTACTGTTTTCTTCTTCTTCTGTGTTTGCTCTTACAAGAGCAATTGGCACATTCTGTTGTGATTCACAGCTAGGCTGTGATATCTGCACCTTTTGACCCAACAGACATTCAATTAATTATCTTTTACAGCATGCTTCTCATGAGGTAGGTGATATATTTCCTCCTTCCCCTAAAATGAGGCCCCAGAACCCAAACACAGGTGTTTTTTTAAAGTGTCACTTACAGGCCATATATGTGACTTCTGTTTTGCCAGGTACTGCAGTTGTGTCTTCCAGAGGAAGTCAATGTTGGAAATAGTACTGCCAAAAGATCACAGATAACTGGCCATCTTCTGGTTACTATGCCAAAAGTAAGTGAAAAAAGAGAAATATTTATGTTTACCTTTAGTTTAGTTTTTCCTATGCTTGTATGTATATGTTTTAATTCATAGAAAAACTGTTTTATGCTATTAACAGAAACTAAATAAATACTTTCATTCCACCACTTGAAGTTTGGTTTTACTAAGAAAATCTCCTATGGTTGTGTAAATATGTTTTAAGTTTTCTACATGTTCTTCTTTTTGTGTGCTTTTGACTGGATGGGTGTCTGATTAGATGATGCTTATGTGTGTATAGATGTTTGTGTATGATCAGATGCTTGTGTACGTAACTGTGTGTAATTATGTTCTTGTGTGTACATGGATATGTAAGGGTGTTTAAGGATGTGTGGGTGTATGAATCATTGTGTATGATAAGGCGCTTGTGTATATATAGATGTATGTATATGCTTAAGGCACTTGTGTATATGTAGATGTTTGTATGTACATGAGTATGTATGAGTGTGTGTTATGTATTGGTGTTTGAGCTTGTATGATTGTGAGTGTATGTATGTTTATGTATTCAGGTGTGGGTATGATTCAGTGTGTGTATAAATGCGTTTGTATCCATGAGTGTATGTATGAGCACTCGCATCATGTAGGTGGATATATGAGTGTTTGGGTGTTTGTGTGAATGTATATCTGTGTATGCATGTATGCATGTGGGTGCATATGTGTGAATTCATACATATACACTTATAAATGCACAAGCAAATTACATTTATAGGTGTGTATGTATGAATGTGCATTGTCTGTGTATTTATTTGCGTGTAAGTGTATATGTATATTTTTATACAGACATAATATGCATTATTGATACCATACAGTTGTGGTCTGAAAGATGAGTGCTTGGAAGAGCCAAAATAAGAATAAACTCCACAGGGGAGCATGTAAAGCAGGGATCTACCAATCGTCAGTAGAAGTAACCTCTCGTCGACAAATGTTTCGGCCAACGAGCTCGTAGACATTCTCAGAGAGTGGGCCCACCTGAGTTCATGAAGCTCAGGGTTGGTTTCCCTGCTGCACGAAATTACCAGATGTTGTTCGGATAGGGACAAGACGAATTGGTGATTTTGCAGAAGGTACCGTGAGATAAGAAGCCGCCGCGGTAGCATAATTAAAGCAGTCTGCATACTTGGACGACCGAGCGGCAAGCTTATGATTGGTATACCGGACACATGCCAAATGTAAGACAGGCCTGCACGTCTTGTAACCCTTTGAAAATAAAGTTAGTTTGTTTGTTCCTTCATTCTGCTTCTGTGTTTGCTCTCAAGAGGGTGGATGGCACATTGTGTTGTGGTTTACAGATAGTTTGCAATATTTTCAGCTTTCACCCTAAAAAATCAAATTTCAGCAAATTCCTTATTAGTTGCCTCTTATGACATGCTTGCTAGAGAGCAGAGGGTCTGTATAGTAGATAGCTGTTGATTAAAGTCCTGATCCTGGCACATCACCATTTGTAGTGAGCACCTCTGAAGCATGGGGCTTTCCAGAGGGAAAGCAATCTTTTAGCAACATTTAGTAATTCATAAATTTAATATATTGCTATTCATCTCAAAAAAATATGTGTGACATATTTTTTAAAATATTTCATAAGTGCATTATATCAATTATTTATTATTCTTTTTAATTTGTTCAGTTTTAGTTGTTATTGCTTTACATTTCTGCCACCAGGTAAAACAGTCTATTGTTTCGGCAAAAACAGCACCATTGAAATCTGCAAAGGAATCAAGTAAAGAAAAGAAGAAACAGAATGAAAGGCAAGATATAGTCACAATATAATTTGCTCTATACTATAAACCAGCAGAAGTGAAAGGGTTCTAGTTTTTAATTCATTACATTATTAAGTAGAGTGTCACATGTACTGGCAGCATGCATATTTCTTATGGCAACAAACAGGTTTAAATACACTTTAAACAAATGGGCTGGAAAGCATGAATGCTCCTTTCAGTGTTAATGGTACAGATGAATATATTCCTATGACAGATTATTTTCAAAAGGCTTTATGGGGACATAGTTCTGTACAGGGGCAAGACACTGGGTAATGATGATGATGAGTTTTGAAAAGTTCTTAAGTTTGGAATGCTTTCCTAAATATCACTAAATATGAACTGCACTAGAAATTCATTATACAAGACGATACCATTGTTAGAAAATACAGCTGAATCAAACAGTCAAGAAGAAGTAAATGCAGATTTCCTGAAAGCTGATTGTATTTCCAACTGCATTTCTTATTTCAGTTAATGCACTTTGTTTTTGCACAACATAAGCAATTGACACAAATACTTTACCTGTTACATAAGCAATCATTTCTTTGTCAAGGCCTAGTTTAGGATAAACATTAATATCCAGACTCTCGGCTCATCTAGTTCTAATAAAAACATTATTTATTATTGTCTCACTGTTTTAGATTCTGAAAAATATATTTCTATGTTCCTTACTTTACTAACTTCACAACAACAATAACAACAACAAAATTATGCCAAACATTTAAATATATTTCACCTAATTTCAATTACATTAACAAAGAGCTGTTATTTCCTTGCATTTCTTTTATTTATATTATTTGGTTCATTGCAGCAATTACCTGGAAGTTGATGCAGAAGCCAGAAAAGGTGTGGATGTCACTAGAATCATCGCAGACAATGAGGCTAAAAAGGCAACTGCTTTGCCATTTGGGAGTAGAGTGACTAAGACAGAAATTCCAGAGCATGCTAACAGTGACAGTTTTGTTGATGATCCCTCAGTTCCTCCTCTTCTTTAACAGATTTGATTATAATCTAACGGTTTTTCTAAACTTGTGCAGGGAAATGTTAATAAGGTTACTTTATTATTTACAACATAAATTAACACCATCTCATTTTTTTTTTTTTTTTTTTTACTTTGAAGACTCAGGACGGAAGGCGCTGGAAATTCATTAAAACTGATCTTAGATTGCTGTAGGGGGGTCTTCACGACAAAGTGGTCAAGCCACTTGCCCCATGCACCGGTCGTGAGTTTATTTTATGGCTGTATTGTTTGGTTCATGAGTGCAGTTTTTAAAGAGACCCCTGGGGATCATTGCTGGAGCTGTGGTGTTGATACTTTGTCTGACACTTTTGCCAGGTGAATAGCCATTCTGCAAAGAGTGACCAAGCCATATGGGTTAAACCTCCTGCAAGAAAGTCAATCTTCTTGGCTTTAACCTTCAGGATGCTATGCTAGTGTAGTGGATAGATTCTTGCCTGCTGGTTCCTACTCTGCATCAGGGTGGATACATTTTTTTCAACTGACCTTTGCTTCCAGGTCAACCCAACCTAAAATGAACAGCAAGTAAGTCCTGGGCAGTTAAGATAGCAGGGCTGATGATGAACATCAGGTGCCAAATGGTCTGTAAAATATAGGTCTACCACTATATAAAAGGTGAAGTCAGGAGATGTGAACCAGCGTCATTGCGTACGAACAGCTGATAAGAAACTATCCGCCTGTGTCGCCGTTCGCACGCAACTCCGTAGCTACAGCGATGTTCCTCCATTGTTAACTCTGGTACCTATTAGCAAGAAACTGGGTGGACGCTGGAAACCGCTCAGTTTCAAACACCGGCCATGGGCTGCAGCGAGTCGTAGCTGGATTTGAAAGCTAGTCTCCTATCAACAGCGCTAACGCTCTAGCACTATATGCCGGATGTGACAAAAGCATGAAGAGAGTCCGCGACATTGGTTTTTTTTTCTTTTAAACAGCTGATCTTTGATGTGGAGATGACATTTGGCAATTGATGATGCTGCTTAAAAGTTTTTTGTTTTTTAAATTATTTTTAAACAAATCAAATCTATATGAAACAAGTGTTTATGACTTTTAAACTGTGTTCATATGTGTGACATAGCCATTGATTTTTGTTTTTAAAATTAATATTTGTTTTGCAAAAATGCGTTTTTGAACAACTGAGTTCACTGAATACATTAAAGTTTGCTGATTTGCACAATATATTCTTCTTTTTAAATATTTTTGTTTGTTAAATAAAGTACAAAATGATTAGCCCATTTGAACACTGTAAATTAACTTTTCTATCTATATTCCTTTGTATATTTTGTCAACACATTAGGTATTATTTATCTTGTTGCTTTTCTATAGAAAACAGTTTCCTTCCTCTTCATTGATCCTGGAATAGAACCAAAGACCAGAAGTAGACAAACCAACTAGAAGTTTCCACCAGAGTTTACAGCCAGTGAGGAGCCGCTAGCCAAGCGGTTACAACAGTGGGCTCTGATTCGGGAGACCTGCGTTTGACCCCTAGTAAGGCGATGGAGTTTTTCTATCAGAGGCAAAATTAAACATCCTAACCTTCACAGTCCACAGTGACAGCATTAGCCATGCCGTCCTAAATCCTCAGATTCATGCCCCCACCCCCGTCTACACTGCTTTAAAAAATGGTGACAGTTTTTTTTTTTTTTTCAAACAATGCTAACACACACACACACACCCACACACAATTATAGTCACTTCTCTAAGTCTTACGCTTTGGTGGTGTTTACGTTAACTTTATTAGTATTGTTGGCTGTCATAGCCCTGTGGGAAGGGTATGGGACAGTATAGATGATAAGATTTGTGACATCCTATGTTTGTGTTTGACGGACAAAGAGGTGCACTAGCGGGTAGCCTGCTGAATTTATGACATGGGAAAAGCCCTATAGTTTAAAATATTCCTCGATATAATCTTTGCTTCTATTGGATATTTTATATCTCTTTCTGATGTGTACAAACAAACTGATTTTGCTTTTTAAGCCTCTGACACAGAGATTACTCACTTAGGTTCTCCTAGCAATTTTTATTATTCTTCTCAAAAACCTCATTTTTATTCGAGTCTTACAGTAAACATGATTATATGATACAAGCGTACTTTCTGATTTTAACTTTCAGTGACAACAGTTTATTGTATCAGATACTCATTTTCTGAAATACAGAATATCCTAACTCTTTGAGTCCCAGGGGGTTTAGCATCACAGGTCCAGGAGATAGTAAAGAGAGTCATAAAATTGGCGCATCGTGCGTTCATTGGGCTTCTAGGCAGAAACATGTGAACATATGATGAGTTCCTTGGGACTCAAAGAGTTAAGCAGTAAAGAGAAAAACTATGAAACAGACCAATGGCAGACTGAAAACAAACAGAAAAGAGAACACACTTTTTGTGATATACGGAATGAATTTTATTGCTGTCAGCAGGCACTTTTTTTGGAAGGTTAAGTTCAGCAGTTGCTGCCTCTTACATCCATTCTTTAGTTTTTCAGAATGCTCAGATATGACAAATTATCCTAGAAAATGAGAATAAACTGAATATTATTTATTTGAAACAATTGCAGACATATTCATTCATAATTAAGTTATGTAAACTGACAAAAAATAATTTTTGTCTCAAAAGATCTGTTTTCTTCTTCTTCTTCTTCTTCTGAATTAGCCTTTAAAAAGGCAGTTGGCATATTGTATTCTGGCTTACATGCCTCTGCCTTTTGGCCTTAAACATCACATATCAACAGATCCTTAACTTCTTGAGTCCCAAGGAACGCATCATATGTTCTCATGTTCCTACCTAGAAGCCCAATTAATGCACAATGCGCTGATTTTATGACTCTCTTCCCTACCCCTTGGGCCTGGGATGCTAAACCCCCTGGGACTCAAAGAGTTAATTAGTCACCTATTACGACAAGGTGTTTTGTTTTTTTTTCAAACAGTAGTGGGTCTGTTCTTTTTTCCTCCTAAAATGGAGCCACAGAACCCACACCGAGAAGAACCTCTTTAAATTGTGGAATTTTCTAGTATTTACAATGTGTTTCCAGTTTTGTATCGATCCTCTGCAAGTTCTCAGCTTCATACATTTTTATGCCTAAGCTGTCGTGAATTGTCAGTACCTCATCTTCCAGAAGTTATGTCATTTGATCTGGAGGAGGAGGAGGAGGAGGAGGAGGAGGAGGAAATATTTAGGTTTCTGAGTGCTATTTTTTATGAGCTAGTTTTCTTTGACAGTTAACTGGAGTAGAAATAAATTCTGATTCTTTGTCATGTGTCTTTACATTCAGTCACCCAAAAAAAAAAAAAAACAGTAAATGATGAAGAAACTGAAAATGTCACACGCTGTGAATATCTAGGCTCCACAAGAGAAGCAATGGAGGCTGTTCAGTAGAACTCAAAAGGAGATTGGCCATAGCAATATAAAGATTAAACATCTATGATTAAGCACCAACAAGTAAATCAAAGTGGAAATTTTGAGAGCATACAACTTCCGTGTAGCAGCATACGGATGTTAGTCGTGGAATATCTCCCAGTTCTCAGGGAAGAAAATGGGGGCATTTAAGTTGAAATGTTATAGAAAGGTTCTCAGATTACCATGAACAAAGAAGAAAAAAATACTGGCTGTACGGGTTCTATTCCCATTCTGTACGGGTTCTATTCCTATTCTGTACGGGTTCTATTCCCATTCTGTACGGGTTCTATTCCCATTCTGTATGGGTTCTATTCCCATTCTGTACGGGTTCTATTCCCATTCTGTACGGGTTCTATTCCCATTCTGTACGGGTTCTATTCCCATTCTGTACGGGCTACCAAGTAAACGATTATTCTAGGGGTACAACTGTCAACTAACCAACGACTGGCAGAAAAACGCCGTAACGAAGTCAACCCTTGAAAACTGCTGCATTCCAGAAACACGTCGTTGGCAGGCAAATACAAGAATTTTATTAAACAATTCCTCACAGATATAAATGGTGTCAATGAAAGGCATATAGTACAGTCACTATATTAAACGACGGTTCCTCCAATCCGGAGCAATGAGCCTCAGCTCCCCGCAAACTGCGGCATCAACTACGGATCCATCTAAGACTGGTTTCCAACATCTGCCATCAACACATTTCTTGTGACTGTCCTCTGTACGGTTCCTCCAATCCGGAGCAATGAGCCTCAGCTCCCCGCAAACAGCGGCATCAACTACGGATCCATCTAAGACTGGTTTCCAACCTCGGCCATCAACACCTTTCTTGCAACCGTCATCTGTCTGGACTAAATTCCTGTCGGCAAGTGACGTCGTGTCTCTCGTCATACCCTATGTTCATTATCGGTTGTCCATAGTGTGGATCTTCGGATTGCACACAACACTGGCATTCTAAAAGATCTAAACACTAAGGAAGATTGGCTAATAAATAGTATCTTGTATTGGAAGCTGAAATATTTTGGCACATCGAGCCTCTGTGAAAAAAATCATTAGTGAGTTTATTTGAAACAGATAACAAAAATACACGCAGGAAATGGGATAGCCGGATTTATTTAGTATTGTCTGGCTAAAAATTAAAAAGAAGAAAACATATGATAACTGGGATTAGCTGGAAATAGCCAATCACACATCATGTGTCCTTTGGTCTTGAATTGAAACTCACATCAAGGGAAATTTGTATAATTGGCCTGGTGAACTTAGCATTAAATTAGTGCCATGGAATTTCCTAGCAAGTAAAGGTGGCAAACATGACGTTGACCACATTACCATCAAGTTTCAATTAGTCTATAAAAATATGTGAACAGCAGCATACAGCCAAGACACAATGGTAAAATAAGTCCTTTCATTGCTTTTTTACTTTCAGGTAAATGCTGTCTCGTTTATAATTTGTACAGTTATAGTCCAAAATATGAGAAATGGCTGGTCAAGAATGTTAGGCTCTCATGAAAGAGGTTTGGATCATCTGTAAGGTTATGAATTTGTTCTGTCAGGGACAAAAATAAAATCCTCACCTGCACAGTTATGGCAGCACTAGCCATGAGGCCCTAAATCCGCAGGCTTAAAGACCCCCCTGCCTACACCCCAAAAATGGTAAATATATGTAGTAATGACAAACACACACATACACACACACACACACACAACATCTTAAATATTGTGAAAGTGGCTCAGTTAACTATGTTTAGATGTAAAGTAAACAGAAAAATAGTCAAAGACCATTTTCACACCTTAGGTACCTTGGGCATAAATTGCTAGACCTACAATTTTTATAGACCAACTGGTACTGAATGAGTGGTGTGGTCAAAACGTGATGGCTGCCTTTACCTCTCACAAGACTGCCTCTTACCCATCTTTGGCTGGTCTACCTAGACGTCTCTTTTTAGTCTTATTCACAGTTTATTGGATTTTGCAGCAAAAGTTTTCTGTGAGATGACTTAGCCAGTCTCATGTTAGTCCTCAACTGCCACATATAACATACACGAGGTGTTACATTGTTACTATTTTTGTTCTGTTACATCCCTTTTCATCTCCAGTAATATAGTTCCTTATTTTAAATTAATTTCTCTAACAATAGCTTGATTTTTAAAATCATCATCATCATCAGGTGCCTTGCCGACTGGCATGGGCGATCATGCCTCTCCATAATCTGCGATCTCCTGCAGCATGTATCAGTTTGTGTGCCGACACACCTCCATGCCATGCAACAAGACTGTCAAGCATCTTCTCTCGTTGTCTTCCTCTATCCCTCTTTCCACAGATCTTTCCAGTGGTCACAACATGTTCTATTTTTCCTCTTCTCATAACATGGCTGAAAAATGATGATTGTCTCCTTCTGATTTTTAAAATAGCATTTTGTTTTCTTATTGAAGCAGATACTTCTGCAAAATGATGCTGATACAAACTGCTACAACTGTTAGCAAGATAACAACAACAAAAAAGATGCAAAAACATATCCCTAGAACCACAAGTAGCTAGGGATTAATTCCATAAATTAAACAAAAGTGTTCATGTAAATAAAGATTGACATGACCAGCATGCAAAATAAAGAGAATTTAAATACACAATTTAAATGCAAACTGTTCTTAATTAACTCAATAATTATCATGAATTACTTATAGCATCTAATTGTAAGCAGCTAGAACAGTTATTTTAAGAAAGAGTTAATTATGAATTAATTAATTCAAATTTTAATTTAAAGAAAGAGAAAAAAAAAAAGTATGGAAAATTACAGAGACTGCAGGTGCATTTTTACACTCACCTCTCTGGAAATGTAAATAAGTTGATTTTGGTAAAAGTTTTTTTTTTTTTTTTCAATTTAATTTTTTGATTAATGAGTAAACATTTAAAACAATTCCTAATTAAATATGAAACAAACTAATATATAATAAATGTGACAAATGACAAATATAAAGTTAATAGTTAAAGTTAAGACTTTAATGGCTTAGAGCACACCTGGAGGATGGTAGAGTCCCTATCGTCATTGTGTATGGTGAGTTACAGATGGGCAAAAGATATTTGGGTCAGCCTCTACTATGATATAAATATCTGTGCTAGTGGGACATGAATGATACAAATACTGATATAGATTCATGGGAGCAGGAGGCCATGGGATGTGTTTCGTCATCATCATCTACAGGTCCTTCACAGAACGTTGCTGTAATTCCTGCCTCAAAGATACTTAATCTCTCACCAGCTCTCCCGTCTCATGCCCTTTCCTACCCAAGGTGTCTCTTAATCCTGTCCCCATCTTCCTGCTGGTCTTTCCCTGCCCCTCTCCCCAGTACCATGCCCTAGGTGACAGTTTTCTGCTGTTGCATTGTTAGGCTCAAGTCTGTCATCTCCTCTACCCTTACTTGATCTGTCATTGTTCTCCTTTCCACTTTGTGTATGATCTGCCTAGCTTGATAGCTGCACCTTCAGATCTTTGAGTTCTCTGTTTTCTTCCATGATACATTTCTTGGGATAGTAATTTCATAGTTTAATGGTAGGGAAAAATAGGAAGACAAAAGAAGCAAAGGAGAAAATGACAGATTGAGAACTGAGTGTTTAAGAAGAAACATGCCAAATATATGCAATGGAAACAGTAATCTTGAAGTCCCATGCACTTGTTGAAAACTTGTCTTCACATGAATTTGACTAGTCATACTCATCATCACCATGGGCTGCGCTTACCCTGCCTTCCTATAGCCCACGGCAACCCTGTCATCTCAGAAGATGCCGTCCCGTGCGGTAGATTTTCTCAGTATGATGCAAGCCTTTAAAAAGCCACACCTTATAGCTTTGAGCTGTCAGATCAAGAGTTTGAATTGTATTTTGATTTCACTGTTTATACCCCCCCCCCCCCCTCTCCCCGCCCTAACGGTGCCACATGATGTGGCTACCTCTCTGTATCATAGCACAGCATGGCCCTGAAAAGATGATGAATGCTCACAGCAGCAACAATATTCAACAAATAATTTGTAAAATATCTGTGAAATAAGTTCAGAAAATGAAATAAACTGGGTTAAGTTAGAACAAACAGAACTGGCTCTCAAATAAGGTTAATTTTTTTGCAGACATTAGAATATTTTCTCATTTTTGTTGTTGCTGTAGTTAATTTTCAAGTGATGCATAAGCCCTCTGCTAGCTCATCCCATTTCTTCTTCTTGCTTGTCCTAAGTAGTACTCACTGGCTGTGAACTCTGGTGGAAAGTTCTGGTTGTTCTTCCACTTCTGAACTTTAGTCAAGTTTAAGAACTTGAGTTTTGCATGGTTCAGGCTGATGCATTCTGACTTCGAAGGAAACCCATAATTAATCGGCTCTTACAACATGCTTGTTAGGGAGACAGTGGGTCTATTTTCAGACAATGGCATGAGAGTCACACCCTGGAGATTAGGGCCTCACCATGTAATATTTCCAAAGACAGCATTGGTACAGGGTAGAAAAACTTTAGTGTGAAGAAGGCAAAGGATCTTTTAACACTTCCCACCCCCAATGACTGTATCAAGCATCATTAAAAAAATCATGATTTATGTATTCAGACAAATAAACATAAACTGTATGTCATAAGTAAATCCAGAAAGCAATGGCAAACTACTGGACGTAAATTTGCCTAGAGAAACCACACAACAGCCAGGGGCTGCTGGGGTTGGTTCTGCAACGTCCTGTAAAGGATACGCAACTAACCCAACCATAAGTAAAATCTGACTGAAAAAGCTGGAGGGGAATGAGAAATCTATTACACATTCAACATCAACAGATGACCCAGTGACGTATGGTGTTATCCGATTATGAGGATAAATAAGTAATATTGCCATAATGATAATTTGTGTGATCATTCAAATGTACAAAAATAGTATGAAATAAGAAGTGTTCATATTTCCTAATTAATGAGATCATACATATATGTATAAACTATGTGGAATAAGTAACATCATCATCATAAGATGCCATCATATATCCAAATTAATATCATTTTATATTTAAAAAAATTGTGTAAAAACAAACATAATCATACATAATTAATAAAATCATACAAGTGTACAAAGAATGTATGAAATAAGAGGCCTCGTACATCCAAATTAATATCATTTTTCATAAACTGTATATAAAAAGAAACATCACCATAACATCATAATTAGTAAGATCCATGTCAATGTATGAAGAGGAAGCTGTAGTAGTGTAGTGGCTAGACACTCAGCTATTAGCCCATAGGTCTTTGGTTTTGTTCCACATCGAGCCAAAAATATTCAGAATTTATCTTGGCTGCCAAGTTGGCCCAACCTAAAATTGGTACCAGGTAAGGTCATAGGAATTAAAGGTTGTCTGTATGATGTTGACTGAATCACCTTCTGTGAGATTTATGGTCTGTACAAATAGGACTCTAGCATCATCTACTCAGTGCCAACTGGCTAAAAAAGGAGTCCATTACTTTACTTACTTTACTGTACAAAGATTTTACATATTTGTAAAACTGAATTAATTTTTTTAATATTTAAAATTTTATTTGTAAACAAGCTTACAAAAAGTAAGAGTTCCTTTCGTAATCAATAATGCAAATTTATTTTGATAACATACAACATTTGATAATAAAATAACACACATTTACTAAGATATGATATACTTTGGAGTGGCTGCTGCATCTGAGGACTGAGCACGCATGGGATGTCCAATGGGCAAAAACGTCAATTGTGATAACATAACATATGATATGTTCTTTCCAATAAGAAATTAAAATAAGAACGTCTTAAAAATAGAAACAATAACTGTATGTTACTATTGAGGCAATCTTTTTTGATGTATTATTCTATTTTCGATTACATATTGGATAAATTATTAACACCTGTGCAAATGAAGAAAGGCACCAATGTAACCACCTGAGAGTAAGAATGCAGCCAAAACAACTATCACCACAGGCACTATAAGGAAAAGATCTGATGTGAAAGCAAGAGGTTGCTCTAGGAGAAGATGGACTCATGACATTAAAGAGCTTTTACATCAACATGGTTAACAATAGCCATTGCTACCCATCAGGCAATGGATTGCTAACTGTTCCTCCCCATGACACTAAATGGCAAAAGTGAAAATTGATTATAAGGATGATGATTGGATAGATTCTAATATCATCATCAAGTTATTTGGCATGAAGAATTGTGCAGAACTATACGATATAATTATCATGTACTACTTCGATATGGAGATGTGTTAGTGCAATGGATAGCATATTTACCTAATGGTCCTATGGTTAGGAGTTCAAATCTCAGCTGAGGTAGGGAGTTCAATTATAGTTTATCTGAAATTGATCTTGGCTTCCATAGCTTTCATATTGAATGGCTAAGAAAAATACTTGGCATTAAGTGGCAGGACAAAATCACAAACACTGAGTTATTGGGAAGAGCTGGTACTACAACAGTGTTCTCAATGCTTAGCCTACGAAGGATCAGGTGGCTGGGTCAGACATGGAGAACGGTGGATGGTAGAATTCTTAAGGACATTCTTTATTATGAATTACAAATGGGCAGAAAATGAGGCCAACCTCTACTTTGATATAAAGACATGTGCAAGCGAGACATGAATGATGCAGGTAACGAGGCAGATTCGTGGGAACAAAATAATATGGACCATGTTGTTGACCATAGAGGGGGAAAATAAGATATGGAATGAGAATGAAGGAAAAAGTGATTGCAGAAAAGATGAAAGCTGAGCGACTGAAAAGAAGCACATTAAATACACATGATAGCAATAATGGTCCTGAAATCCCATATTATAATTGTGGAAGACTTTTCTGAACATGAGTGAGTCTTGCTAGTCACACTAGTCGCTAGCGCCATGGGCTGTGAATCGCATGCCTCCTCAAAGAACAGTATAACACTATCATCTGGGAAGACAGCAAGATGCCAGCATATGTGACCACACAGATCTGAGTTTAACCCAGTCTCATAAGTATTTTACATTTTCCCCGGAAATGAAAAGTGGCCTGCACACGTAATGTTTTGAGCACTGTCTGCTAGAAAACTATTAGACTAGCAACGTAAAAACATCCAAGGGGGAGAAACATCTAGAGAAAGATGATGTTACATTTGTGTAGAAAACATCATGAGATGGAATAGGAGAACCTGTCTGAGCACATCATGAGGACAGAAATGGTTGGAGGCTCATTATTAGCCATTCTTAAATGCTGAAAAGGTACTTGATGATGATAATGACAATAATGATGATGACAACGACAATGATGATATGATGATGATGATAACGATGATAACTGATATCTTAGTGTTACTAAAAATCTTCTACACTTAGTACTAAAAAAGAACAGGTTAAGTATAGCTACATAGTTGCTCAAGTAATAGAAGATGTCAGTAGGTCACTCTGAATTTTTATATCTTCAGAAATGCTCTTAGCATTGCATATGTTGCCAGATTTGGTTAAATTTACATCATTATTTTTATCATTAATAACATTTATCTTGAAGTCAAATTCATAACTTTTCGGCATATTAGATTGCAAAATTTTAAGTTTTTCTTCGCATTTAATTGTGCTAATCTCATTCTTGGCTCTCTCTGTTGATTTGGGTAAGGATAAACAAGCCTGATCCTTTTGAGTTTTCTTTTTAGGCATAGTGAGAACCAGTCGTTTCCAGAACTTTGCAACTTTCCTTTCATATTTTTGGTCGTTTTTGGGAACTGAATCTGTGCTGTGGATGCTTTCTTCTCTAAAGAAGTATGTTGTGCTGTCAATACTTCTATTGCTCCTCGGACTCTGAATTTTTTGTAGGCTGTCTTCTGTATGTGAAACATGTGATTTGGGTTTAGCTTTAGGATACTTGAGGCATTTAATGGAGTCCAGGATGTGCTTCAGGCTTTTGTCCATGTTAACACTCTCCTTGAAGAAAAAAAATAAAAATTATTTCAATATAGCAGTTATGTTAGATATAAAAATTAGAGAAGCAATGCTCTTATAACCTTAAACAAGTTGATATGTTTGAGTACTTAGACACCCTGATAACATCAGATAGATGATGTATTAAAGAAGTTTAATGTTGATTATTTCAAGCAAAGGCAGCATTTTACAAAATGAAGAATATTTTATGCAAACTTTCTTTGTCAGTTGAGACGAAAAAGAGAATTCTTAAAAACTATATAAATGCTATCTTGATATACGGAAGTGAATCATGGACAGTTGGTAAATTAGTGAAAACTTATTTTGTAAGCTGCGGAGATCGAGTTTTATAGACAAATGATGAGAATACCCTGGACAGATAAAAAGTGTAATGAAGACATTTTGAAAGAAACTGGCTCACGAAGAGAACTGATTGCCCACATCAGAAAGAGACAAACCACATTCTTTGGTCATGTGATGAGAAGGAGAAAACTGGAGTACACCGTGACAGTGGAAAAGGTGGAGGGAAGGAGAGGCAGAGGAAGACCGAGAGAACAGATGCCGGACAGTTTGACATCATGACATGGAGGATCATCTGTGTCAGAGTTGATTGAAATTACTTGAGACAGAAGGTTGTGGAATGACATGACTACCAGCGCCACACGGTATGGAGAAGAAGAATGCTTTTATGGGGAGCCACAGTATAGTAGCAGCTAGACGTCCATCTGCCAGCCTGAAAGTTTTGGGTTTCCACACCAAAATTTACCTTGGCTCCCAGATCTGATCAATTTAAAAAAGGGTACCAGGTAAAGTCCTGGGAAGTAAAGGCTGCTTGCATAAGGTTGACCATATCACCCATCGAGTGCTGACTGGTCTAAAACATAAATGAGTCTAGCTCCAAAACCCTGATATGCGACTGGAGTGAAAAAAAAACCTTTATGGGGTTTTAATTTTAGTTTATTTAATGAACCTGTAAAGAAATGCCCTAGTACATGCTGTAGGCTTTGCCAGGACTGTCTTCACATCGGACAACTGGACATTTTATGCGGTTTTTTCACTAGCACAGGAACAGACCAGTTATAGGGTGACACACTGGCTGTGAAATTTGACTTGCAACAAGTTACTGACAGAAGGGAGATACATGTTATAACAAAATACCTTTAACCTCCCCATCCTAATCATCATCACCATTATCATCATCATCATTATCAGCATGGTTGTTATAATTACCAATATCTAACAAATTAATCCATAAGCTCCTTTAAACAAAAAAATATGTATTCCAGTTTACTACATTTATGATTGTAGAGCTTTTACTGAATAGAACAATTACAGGTGACATATTTGCTGTGAACTGGAATTGGGATCAATGACTTATAAAAGGTTCAACGGGGTATAAGATCTGGCTGGGGGTTTTCAGCTAGAATGAAGGGGAAAATTGTGGCAGAACAAAACATAGCTTTTTTATCTGCAACTTCAAGCATGAGAATGGAAGTGGAGGAAATCAATGCAGCTCTGAAGTAGATAGCAGAAAACAAAGTTACCAGAGGAATTATTGTGTCTGATTCTCAGCCGGCATTGCAGAAGGTTCAGAATGGACAAATGTGGCATGAGTGGATACCATGCATCAGTACACCAACATTGTAGGGAATCACGTGGATATACTGTCCGGGTTATACAGGAGTGTGAGGGAATGAAAGAGTGGATTATCTGGCTACAAAAGCAAAAGCTACGGGAACACTTGTATTGGACAAGGGAGATATTCTGAAGACCATATTTGAATTTTGGCAGAAGACATGAGATTTGATGAAATAACATGGGCAAGAATATGTGAAAGAGGAATTAAGTGTGGATCCGGCAAGGAGGGACGGATGAGAAGAAGAGATCAGCATGTGTATAATCAGTGTGCTACGGGAACAGTTAGCATCTACACCTTACATCATTTGCTGTGGGAGACAGAGCATCTATGGGTATGCCCGGTGTATGATGTTGATTCTTAAATCAGTAATCAGTATTAAAAGAGAGCTAAATATTATGACAAAATGATAATGATTTCCTCTTCCAACCAATCATCAGTCATCATCATTTTCAAATTTGTTGATAAGTAACAATAATTTCTGACAAATTAAATCTCAAACTCTTTTTTCAAATATTCCTTCAAGTTTATGGTCTCAATGATTCTACGAGAACTATCTTCAGACACTAAAGTCTAATGTCGTGAGATCTTACTTCCCTGCACCAGGTTGTTATCCCATATGGTCTAAGACTTAAAATGAAATCTACTGCGTCCCAATGTCGGACACAATTTTGTTGTTGTGTTAAAGAACACCCTGGCTGTGGCCAGGGGCCGAAATATAACCCTACCTGTGGGTTGAAAGGGTTTCTGGGACCTATCCCCAGGTGATTCTCATCCAGATGGTGGCAGTTTGTGTCTCTTGGTGTTTATCGCTCGTTAGCATGAGACAAAAGATGCACCTATTGAGACAACCTTAATTTTGACACTGAGATAAAAAATGTAATATAAAAAGAGAGAAAATTTACCTTTCCAACATCCTCAAGTATTATAGGTATGATTCTCTGTTGCAGCTTCAGTGTTTCATGCTGAGCGATCAAGTACTCGAACCTGTTCCACTCATTTGTGATGTAGTCAGGTGTGATAATCATTATTGTACGACGACTCTTCTCCATGGCTGACAATATTGTCTCACTCATAACTGAAGAAAAGTAACAAACATGTTACAATTAAACATGCATTACATTTGATCATTTACATTATATGAATACCGAATATGAATAATGAGTTTAACTAATTACTTTAAACACAGCAGCTGCAAGAGAGTTAAACTGAAAATGTTGAGGCTGTCCAGCTTTCCATGGCAACTTATGGTATGTGAGTCATGAACTCTGACTCAATCTTTGAAAGAAAAATTTAAAAAATTGGAATTTTGGACTGAAATACTACAAAACAATTCTTTGAATTCTGTGGACCAAGAAGAACCCAAAAAAAACGCTAACATCCTATATAATGTGAACAGTGAGGAGAACTGGCTAAAAAACAGCATCCTATCCTGAACGCTGTTGAATTTTGACCATGTTATGGCAGCCGGAGAAAACAGTGATGTAGTGGCAGCTTCTCGAAAATGAGGCAGAGGCAGACCTCAGCTAAAGTAGATATAAGACACTGAAGATGAATTGGCTCTAAAAGCCTTTCCATTCTGTTCTGTCCTGTGTGTTTGATATCACAGGTGGAGTCCAGTTCAGCATTTCTCAACAATATTCATATTAAGATTTCTCTTGGATGTTCTTATCTCCTCATTTTATTTGTTTCACATTCCAGTGTCTCTTTGGTGATTCTTTATCTATTTTTCCCAAAGATTTGCCGATCTAAATTTTTATTGCCCTAAACTTGATGATAAAAGCTGTTGTCCAGACATTTCTGACCTTTCTTGAGTTCATTTTATTAAATGTTCATCAAATCCCTTATACATTTGTTTTTGAATGCTCTTAACTTTCATTCCAAGTCTTTAATGGTTTCCCAACTTTGACAAGCACATGTAACTAAAATAACTTAAAAATTAAAAATATGTGACTTGGTTTTTAAAATATATAATTTAGAGTTACATATTTTGCTGAGATTGCTAAAAGCTGCTGTTGTTTTGCCAACCAGAAAGCGTAACTGCTTTCCTTGTGTTTCTTTGGCAATCAAAATTGCTACTTAAAAATGTAAAATGATCTGTTACTTTAGTTCTTATTCTGTCTAGTGTAACATCTGCTTAATCTGTTAATGATGTCTCCAACACATTTGTCTTTGCATAACTGATTTGTAAAAACTCACCAGTGAGGCTATATTTGCTAAATCATCTGCTTTTCTTTCCATGTTGCCTGTCATTTCTAGTCTCACTTAGTAGAACAATAAAAGTAAAGATCCCGTTTCACACCTTAGGTGCATCGAGTGTATGGGAAGAGCATCCATAATTTTACAGACCAATCGGCACTAGCTGGGTAATGTGGTCAGCATTACGCCAGCCGTCTTTACTTCCCCAGGACATACATCCTGGTACCCACTTTAGGCTGGGTCGCCCTACAACGCCCCGTACCATGATAAAAAGCCATGCAGCCAGCATTGGGTTTCGATCGTGGTACGTTGGAATTACGAGTCAGACTCACAACGCCCAAGCCACGGATGCCGCTAGTAGAACAATATATTATAACAAATCCCCAAAATGTGTGTCTTTCAACCTATAATGCTGGTGTTTCCTACATACAATTTTTACATCACACAGTCAATAGTTATGCCAGATAATATGGACAGTTAAAAACATCCGTTTCACTCCAGTTCGACAGCAAACCCATCATTTAAACCATCATCTGTGTGCACTGCACACTCTGAAACCCATCCACAGCTTACCTTCACCAGCTGGAGCATCTCTTGCCTGTAAGAACAGTTTGAAGTTGTGTTCTTCCAGGATCGGTCGAAGAGATCCGTAAACAAAGTTTTCTGCACTTGGTGTTGAAGTCATAGATATATAAGCATCATTTTCTTTGCCATCTGAAGTATAAAATTCATACATGACAATCATAATTGAAGTCAAAGTCACACAAATCATGGGAATCATAGGTATCATTTTCTTTTGCATCTTATAAGTTTTTTTTTCTAAATCTGGTGCCAGATTGGTCCCCACGAACAATGATTTGGTACTCAGATGAGACAAGTACCACATATTGGACACAAAGCTAACAGAAATCACATCTTAAAAATCAAGTTTATATATAGCAAATCACAAATTAAGTTACTGTCATTGGCAAACCAAAATAATATTCTTTACCATCTTATGAATGATTTATGTCCGTAGAAATGAAATTTTCACTTCAAGTTATAAGCATGAAAAGTAAGGGACCTATTTCTATATCTTGAGAATATTGGGTTTATAGTGGTTAAAATGTAAGGTACATATTTCTATATCTTGAGAATATTGGGTTTATAGTGGTTAAAATGTAAGGGACCTATTTCTATATCTTGAGAATATTGGGTTTATAGTGGTTAAACTGTAAGGGACCTATTTCTATATCTTGAGAAAATTGGGTTTATAGTGGTTAAAGTGTAAGGGACCTATTTCTCTACCTTAAAGAAACATTGGGTTGATAGGGGTTAACTCTTTCATTCCTGAGCAAAGCCAAGTCTGAGTTCTGGTGTTGCCCCAGTGCACCAAACAACCTACGATATATTTTGTTAAATTTTTCTATGTCTGGTGTGAGCATGCAAAAGGAATTTGGCTAGATATTAGAAAATGTAGCATAAGATATGTTTGTTTGAAAATATACAGTCATGCATTCTCTAGCATGGTCACAGTTTCTATTCACCATGTGCTTTCAAATTTCCTGGTTTAGAAAGAATTAAATTCTACAATGGACCTGTTTCTAAACCTTGAGTAATGGGTTTATAGTGCTTAAAATTTAAAGGACTTATCTCTACATCTTGAGACAGATTGGGTTTATAGAAGTTAAAATGTGAAGTACCTGTTTCCATACACTGAGACATACTGGGTTTATAGTAGTTAAAATGTGAAGTACCTGAGACATACTGGGTTTATAGTAGTTAAAATGTGAAATACCTGTTTCTATACACTGAGACATACTGGGTTTATAGTAGTTAAAATGTAAAGGACCTATTTCTATAGATGGAGACAGATTGGGTTTATAGTAGTTAACATGTGAAAGTACCTGTTTCTATACACTGAGACATACTGGGTTTATAGTAGTTAAAATGTGAAGTGCCTGTTTCTTTACACTGAGACATACTGGGGTTATAGTAGTTAAAATGTAAAGGACCTATTTCTATACACTGAAAAATACTGGGTTTATGGTAGTTAAAATGTAAAGTACCTATTTCTATAGAATGAGACAGATTGGGTTTATAGTAGTTAAAATGTAAAGGACCCATTTCTATACACTGAGACATACTGGGTTTATGGTAGTTAAAATGTAAAGTACCTATTTCTATATAATGAGACAGATTGGGTTTATAGTAGTTAAAATGTAAAGGACCTATTTCTATACACTGAGACATACTGGGTTTATGGTAGTTAAAATGTAAAGTACCTATTTCTATACACTGAGACATACTGGGTTTATGGTAGTTAAAATGTAAAGTACCTATTTCTATACACTGAGACATACTGGGTTTATGGTTGTTAAAATGTAAAGTACCTATTTCTATACACTAAGAATACTGGGTTTATTGTGGTTATAATGTAAAGTACCCATTTCTATACAATGAGAATACTGGTTTTATTGTGGTTAAAATGTAAAGTACCTATTTCTATATTTATTTACTATAGTGCTACCTCTAAATGACATAGACCAACCAGCACTCAACAGATGACATGGGGAAGATAATGCTGTCTTTCTTTTAACCAGGACATTTGATAGTAGCCATAGTTATTCCTGGATTGATTTTTAAAGTCCTCCTTGATTAAAATTCAAACACTTGAGCATCGGACCGGAAAGCAAGAGTGCTGGTAACCTTCCTTTTTATGTTAAACTACTTCACCTTAATGCTAAAGTATTTAATTTTAAACAATATCTTCCTTTTCAAAGTAAACTGTACCTATATCTTCATATTAAACTATTTCACCTTCATGAGTTATGAGTTATGTGTTGAATCATCTTCACATCACTCCAGATACATCCATAGGCGCTCACATTCCCCCCTCAACATATTCATCAGCGTCATGCGGGTAATAGTGCTAGCCCTATGCTGGTTTACAAGACCTCATGTGCTACCGGTGTGCTTCTCATGCCTGGATGTGCCGATCTTTACTCCCAATTTTTGTATTCTTAGCAGTGATGACACATTGCTCCCAAAATCCTGGGAACGTACTATCTCTCTAAGGGTATTGACAATGTCTGCGCGATCCATGGGCCGGTCATCTTCAATTAATGCGGAACCTACCAGTCAATCAGCTCTTTCATTATCAACAACACCTGTATGCCCTTGGACAAATATGAAGGTAACTTCACACACAGGAGAATTTTGCAATGACTCAATCCACTCTCTGTGTAACCAGCCTGTCTCGACCCGTCGGATCATGCTCAAAGAATCACTCAGTACACACACTTTGGAATAGTCATGTGATTCTAGTTACATAAAAGCTTGTATCACCGCCATCACCTCCATCGTTATGCTGCTGGTAGTCATGGAGAAGGCACCGCTGGCTTCCTGAACTGTTCTGCCTGAAGAGCGAGCTGTAAATGCCCATGCACTCTTATGTCCTCGTATAACTGATCCGTCTGTGAAGATCAGCCCATCTGTATCATCTGACTTGTCGCTGATAAGTGCGCATAGCTCGACATTGACAGCAATGGGATTCTGCTCCAGACAACTTCTATCAAGCGTGACAACACAGGAGAATGTGAGATTGGGCGCTTTAGATGCTCGTATCCAATCCTCACTTGGATGAATATCACTAAGGCTGCAGACCTGCATAATGTCATCCTCTGCCCTACCAGGTCATAATTTACTCCTTTTCAGTCTATTGCCCTTTTTTTTTAAAAAAGAGCATTGGTACAAACGGTGCTTCACGTCTTAGCTTATCCTTTTGTATGCATGAGCCCTCCGGATCTTGATCCTGTAGTTTATGGTAGGAAAGTCAAGAAGGTATCTCACTGCTACACAAGTCTCCAGTGCACCCCAGAATAATGTGCATTGCTTCATTTTTCACCTTCTTAAGTCTTTCAATCTGAGTATGGCTGACAGTGACAATGGCAAGAGCATATTCGATGGGAGAAAGTACAAGTCCCTGGAACCGAAGCAGAAGCAGTCTTGGCTCAATACGTGCATTTCTTTATATTTCATTTTCATATTAAATATACTCTCATTTCAACAGTAAGCTATACACTGTTGCTTTCAAATTAAACAATACTTACAACCTCACATCAAGCTTAATCATCATATTATCAAACTATGCTGTAATCTTAAGGGAAAAAGTATACATTGATGCAATACTATACCTTCATCTTCATATTCTCTAAAAATGTAAATCAGCTTGAGAATGAGGATCACTCGTAGGCGCCACATTATTATAGGGATAATAATAATTAATAGGAGAGCAACAGCAATAGCAGTTGATAAAGTGGCAGCCAGGATCCGAGCACGTTCTAGTAAATATAAAAAATATCGATTTGAACATTTATGAACAGGTAAAGGGTAAATTGTAAAACGCATATTGCACTTCACTGATAAAGATTAACAAAAGGCCATCCACAAAATGTTTAGTGATAGTGTATTTGAAAATACATATTCTTGAATTTCTGAAGCAGACATTCGTTTAACACCTTATGCTGATATAGAAAGCAGTAGTGGCAGGGGAGTCAGCGCGGTGGGAAAGGGTGGGGGTGTGGTGGGCTAACTGACTGACTTTCTACCCCACTAGGACATCACATAAGCGATAAACACCCGATGACACAAAGTGCCACCATGCGGATGAGGATCACCGTGGAGAGGTCCCAGAAACCGCGTTCAGACAATTGGCCATATTGATGGCCTGCCTATATTGCGGCCCCTGGCAAAAGCCAGAGTGGGGCTTCAAATAAGAAAAAATTACGTCCTGTAAAGGACGTAAGTAGTCATGAATGTGTAGGTGTGGTGGAGGGGTGGAGGGGTGGAGGGGTGGAGGGGTGGAGGGGTGGAGGGGTGGGGGGTCGAGATTTTTATATTCCAAAGGATCCGCATCACTGGAATGGTTATATACCATTGGCACGGTCTCTCTCTACGGAACAGCTAACTGCCTGTCAAGAGCATCACACAAAGAACAAACTTCGTGGCTACATTAGTAATCCCCACAGGTTAAAATTGCATTTATGAGCTCAGCAGTGCGTGAAACTAAACCATGACCGCCAGAAGGAGAGACAAATGGCACAACTAGCCAGGGAGATCTCAATATTGTGCAGGAAAAAAAATGTAAAGTAAAGTAGCCTAAATATCCCTTTTTACGCCTTATGCGTATCGGGCATATGAGAAGAGCACCCCATATTTTTATAGACCAATCGGCACAAGGTGGGTAATGTGGTCAGCATTACGCCGGCCGTCTTTACTTCCCCAGGACATACATACTGGTCCGATTTAAAGGCTGGGTCGACTTGCGACGCCCCATCCCATGATAACAATCCACGCAGCCAGCAGTGGGTTTCGATCGCAGTACGTTGGAATTACGATTCGGACTCGCAACGCCTGAGCCATGGAAACCCCCACATTGTGCAGAAGAAGATGAAAAAGAAGTAAGTGTTAGAAAAAATTGTAAACTGCAGTAGTTTTAAGCTGTAATAAGTAATAAGCTTGCACGCACCTGTGATACTGACCATTCCCTGTCTACGGGAGTATTTTGAGTTCCTTGATCTTTCGGTATTTCTCCTCTTCTTTGTCCGAGATTTTCTGAGAATCTTTCTTTATCATGTCAGCTCGAAAGCCCCTATTATCTTTCTTAAGGACTGGGAGATAGTCCACAACTCACATCCGTATGTTGCTACAGGGAAGATGCATGCTCTCACAATTCTAATTTTGATCTCCTTGCTGGTGCTTAACCATAGACTTTTTAAGCTGTTTAATCTTTGCATTGCTATGGCCATCTTCCTTTTAATTTCTGTCAAACAGTCTCCACTGCTATTTATTACAGAGCCTAGATATTAAAAGTTTGTCACATTTTCCATTTCTTTACCATGTTTTGTTGTTGTTATTTTTGGGTGACAGACAGTTTTATCTGTGGACATTATTTTCGTTTTCTCTATATTCAAGAATAGATTTTGATCTTCACTGAGCCTTCAGACTATATACACCTATTAAATATATGGATGATGGAAGTATATTGCCCCCCCCCCCCTTTTTTTTTAGTAACAGAAATAACAAAGAATGTGTCTGCAAAATCACATAAATTATATAACCCTCTTACACGCTCTATGAAAAGAAAATCGCTTTTGTAAAAAAAAAGGAATTTTGTGACGCCCCTGCAGATTATGAGGCCCTAAGCTTAGCTTAATTTGTCTTATGCCTAAATCCGGAACAGGGTTGACGCAGAGAGCACTGCACACAAAATACAAGCCTGTCACTGCTGGGAACTTAACCCCAACTCACTTTTTTAGCACGCTAACAGCTATAGGTATCATCATCAGGTTCCTTGCCGACTGGTGTGGGCGATCATGCCTCTCCATAATCTGCGATCTGCTGCAGCATGTATCAGTTCGTGTGCCGACACACCTCCATGCCATGCAACAAGACTGTCAAGCATCTTCTCTCGTTGTCTTCCTCTATCGCTCCTTCCACATATCAATCCAGTGGTCACAACATGTTCTATTTTCCCTCTTCTCATAACATGGCCGAAAAATGATGACTGTCTCCTTCTGATGTCTGTGATAAGTTGTCTTCGGGCTTCCGCTTCTTTAAAAACCTCTTGGTTGCTCTTTTTGGCTGTCCAAGGTATTCTAAGCATTCTTCTGTAAAACCACATCTCCAAGGCCTCCAGAAATTGTTTGGCCTGTCTACCGATTGTCCAGGATTCATAACCATATGTTAAAACTGGATGTATGTAGCAAGCAAGAATTCTTTTTCTAACTCTCAATGACAAGGATATATTGCACAAGATGTTTTTCATTTTATAAAATACAGTTTTTGCCTGTGCTCCATTGAAATATCTATAACAAAATTACATGTAACATAACATAACCCTTGACCCATTAGGGTCGTCGATGTGTATTTATGAAAGCACTATTAGCAAATAAAACCCGCCATCTCTGCTTCTGCTTGATGAATAAGTGCATGTATGATAACTTAGTCCTGTCCATATGGGTTTTGATGTTGTTATTCCATGTTCTTCTTTACTTTCCTCTTCTTCGACTACCCGCCAATTAACAAAATTACATAAAAATGACAGAAAGTGAAATGTAAAGTACTTAACTAAACGTCCAGATGATTCAATGCCAAAATGCTCTTTTTTATCAGCATTACTTTCATCTGTCAACAAGCGTTTTGCAGTTGTTTGGGGTCTACGGACTCCTTTGAGAGTTCTATCACAGAGACAATCCAGTTCTGCATGCAGCCGGCAGTTTGAAACCAGCCACTCAAACAAGGGTTGTATGGAGATCAACAACTTGATAAGAAACCACCACCACACACACGATTTTGGATGAAACTAACATATCATGCATAGAAACGTCTCGATGTCTTCTTTGTGTACCAGTGTGTCACTCACAAACACCTGGGTAGCCAGCTAAGAAGGTGTTGCCCACATCCACAAACAAGAAGAAACAATGGCAATATGTTTCTATGATGCTGGGTATATAATAAGTTGCATGATACTTTCAAGCACGGTAAAAACGTGTTCATGTGAAAATCATACCCAAAACTCAATGGCAAGCAAGAAAAGCTAATTTATTTTTTAAAATACCAATGAATCCTTACAGAAAGTTACAATCTTAAGCTGAACGAGCTGAGCCCACCCCTCCCCGTTTTCATCCTTTTTCTTCCTATATTAAGACGTTCCCTTTTCAAGTACTTCTTTATCAATTCTATATTGTTTCAAATATATTGTTATATATAGTCACACAAATTACTATTATTATTATTATTGTACACTTAAACAAGGCTTCATTCCCCTAGAGCGTCCACTCTAAAAAATTATATTTGGAGCTGAAGCCTCCCTCAACCCACCTCGCGTTTTATTTGTATCAGTACTCTACTGCCCCATCTGTTGCTAAACCTCTCACTTTTTCTTAATTACACCTTTCAGTGTTAATTTTTGTACAACAGAAACTCTTTTAACTTTTTCCCCACCGCCAGAAAGGCCCTAGATCAGCGGTTCTCAGCCTGTGGATTGCGACTTTAGACCCACAGGGTCGCCAAAAACCATCGGAAAACACATGTTCTTTGAAGTTATGAAGTAGAAACAAAAATAGCTGTATGCCTGGAGGCGGGGTATGTCGCCACAGCATGAAGAACTGTACTGAAGGGTCGCCACATTACGAAGGTTGAGAAGCGCTGCTTTGGATGATGTCATTAGTAGACAGGAAAAACGTGTAGTCACAGATAGTGCAAAGACCTTAATGAAATCAAAATATTTTTGAAAACCCTGCAAACAATTAACCCTTAAGAAGAAACTCAAATTAAAAATTGACAGACAAAAATCCTTTGCCAATAAAAATTCAAAAAAAAAAAAAAATCCCGTATTTAAGAGTTTAAAAAGTAAACAAAAAAGAACAACAATAAATTCTTTACCTTTAGTGTCAGGAACAAGTTCAGCACACAGCTTTCCCATATATTTATGTTGACAGCTACAAAACATTTCATCGTGTGCGGAAACATCACATGTGCCGTGTACACAAGGCAAAGTACATACTCGTTGACAAAGGTCGCCTGTCCAGCCGGAATCACACCGACAACTGAAGGAAGATTCCGACCCCGACTCCGTATCATTGCAGTCAGGTACCCCGTGACGGCATCTGTGAGTGCAATATCAGAAATGTAACTAGGTCTGCTCAACGTTACAAAAGTACATCAGAGCAAGGTTTCCCCATTTTACTCGTAAAACTGAACACGAGATCTGATAATATTCCCATACGGCTTGTTAATCAATGCACGTTAACGAAAATAGTAAATAATATTACAAATTATGTGTAGGGGACTGGTCAAAATACCACGCATCATCACGCCTGTTCGACTTTGACCGCATAGTTAACAAAGACATCATCCTAATCAGCATCATCATCAATCAGCAGATCCTGTATATAATGTGGCTCTTGTCAAATATCTGCAGATGCTTTAAATAATGTGGCTCTTTTCACATATCTGCAGATCCTGTATATAATGTGGCTCTTGTCACATATCTGCAGATGCTTTATATAATGTGGCTCTTGTCACATATCTGCAGATTCTTTATATAATGTGGCTCTTGTCACATATCTGCAGATGCTTTATATAATGTGGCTCTTGTCACATATCTGCAGATCCTTTATATAATGTGGCTCTTGTCACATATCTGCAGATGCTTTATATAATGTGGCTCTTGTCACATATCTGCAGATGCTTTATATAATGTGGCTCTTGTCACATATCTGCAGATCCTTTATAAAATGTGGCTCTTGTCACATATCTGCAGATCCTGTATATAATGTGGCTCTTGTCACATATCTGCAGATGCTTTATATAATGTGGCTCTTGTCACATATCTGCAGATCCTTTATATAATGTGGCTCTTGTCACATATCTGCAGATGCTTTATATAATGTGGCTCTTGTCACATATCTGCAGATCCTTTGCATAATGTGGCTCTTGTCACATCCCGCATGAAAGTCTCTTTAGTCAGTGCGCTAGCCCTATAGACTTTCATAGCTAATGCATCTTTAATGGCGTGTATTCCATTAAATTATGCCTGGGAACGTACATACTTATGTACAACTATGGGCTCAAACAACATTTTTATATACCTTTGAGTGTAAGTGTTAAATTAAAAACATGTTGTTTTTTTTTTGGTACACATAACGAATATCATCCTATCTCGTCGGGTACGAGATTTTGTGTCGGCTCCCATTCTTGTCGTTGCCAATCCTACGGGCTGTCCTGTGTGTGGAAGTGTTATGTATTCCTTGTGTCAAGGGTTTCTTCTTCTTCTTTGCGTTCGGCTTCGTATGCTCAGGTTAGACCATCAGGTGGGTTGCCTCTATGAACTCGTATGCCAGCTGCATGTCCTGCATGATTTCCCATAGCTTGCTCTGCACACTTTGCTCTTGAGGCCAGGTGTCTTTTCGCAGTTGCAGGTAAAGTGGGCAGGTTTAACGTGTGGCAGTGTTCTTTAATTTAATAGTCGCCAGGTTCGTTACGCCTACGACTAGGACCAAGAACTGTATATGACCAAAGCCCCATTTATTTGCTACTGTTCAACATTACAGGAATCATCCATTAGCGACTTGGACAATTGCACTAACATTAAACCCCGAGTGTGAAAAGAATTATCTGTTTGATGGTAAGGCTGTTCAGGGTCCATCACTTTGACGTCGCCACAACACAACACAAATGTGTATACGTTTTTGTTTGTCTTGCCTTCAAGTAAATCCAATTATGAATAAGCTCAAACTAATCCTCGAATCAACAAGCTGGCATACTTCAAACTCAAGGCAGAATTGAATATGTAAAGGCACCATCACTACAAAGCAGAATAAAATGAAGTCCAGCCGTATGATCTTGTTCCAAGCATGCCGACAAGTGTGACATATTCCCAGCCTGGTTTTGTCAGTCGCGACTGTCCGTACCTGGCTGTTACTGTGTTGTGGGACTTGTGTTTTTTTTTTTTAATCCAATTATACCAAGCGCAGTTTCTCGGCTCCATGCAAAACATCAGTGCGCGATGGCTTTTGATAGGGCAAGGTGTTTTGTATCACTAGGAAAGGGGTTCAAGTCTCACTGTCTCTCAGTCGCGCTCCCGGTAGAGTATTTAGTCCGCACAGTCTCTTTAATTTGCACAACTGGCATCCACTCTATAACAAGAAGTTTTCTCTTTCCTCGTGTTGTCACCGTTAAGTTGCATAATTACATGTACACTGTGCTACTTGCTCTACGGTTTCTGCTTATCTGGGATGTTTTTTGTATTTCTACGTTCCTTAGTGGTAACTTCCTATTCTAAGGGGAAGCCACCAACAAGGAACTTAAAAATACAAAAACTTCCCTGTTTCGATTCTCACGAATTGTCGCGCCCTCTGCTCCTTCCCCAGCAATACTTCTTGTTTGTACACAGGCACATGCGGTGTCCCCCCCCCCCCCAAAAAAAAAACACTCACAATACAACTTTCCAAAAACTCACGATAATATAATCTTCCCAAAAACTCACGACAAAACAACCTTCCCAAAAACTCACGACAAAACAACCTTCCCAAAAACTCACGACAAAACAACCTTCCCAAAAACTCCCGACAATACAAGCTTCCAAAAAATACATTTCGTGCGGCGAGCGAAGGCCGAACGAATGCCATCTTATAAAAGACCCCCCCCCCCCCCCCCTCCTTCCCACGCCAACCACATAGAATATCCCGTGGTAATGGCCACTACGTGAATGGAAGCCGACGGGAAATATCGCGCCCGACAAGATGGAGTGACATTCGTAACTTGTATCTGTTTTTTAACATCAATTGCGGAAAATTTTACAACAGATACTTTTTTTTTCAAATGTGCAAAATCTATCATTTCTCCCTAAAGTGGAGAGAATTTGACAAAATAATATTTGTGTATTCAGGTTTGGAAAATTTGACACCATGTTAATTGTTTTCCATTAATGTGAAACATTTGACAACACATTTTTTAAGCATACAAAATTCAACAAAGAGGTTTCCATATCTATGTGCTTAGGACTTTTGCCTCTTGCCGTGAAGGTCTTAAGTTTGTTTCACTGACAATGTCTTTGGTTTCAAGAGTGCTGTTTGTTTTTGTGTGTAGGCATTTGTCCATCTGTCCAGACGACTGTGTTATATTGTGCTGTAGGAAGGCATGGAATCATAACTTAAGGCGATGACGAGGGTGACTAGCTAAAACTGTCCGTGTTAAGAGAAGTCTTCCACATTGAGTACTGGATTTCACGATCACTGTTGCATCACATGAATTAATATGCTTCTTCTCAAGTGCTGATCTCTCAGTCATTCTGTAATAATTGTTTCCTTTATCCCTATTTACTTCCTGATGTCATCGTCAACTGAAAATGGTTGTTTGCATTTTGTTATTGGAATCTAACTTATTACATGTATTATTTATGTAAGTTCCATTTCCTTTTGAGAAAAAAATCAACTACGCTCAACCGGCCGCCAGCTAGTCGAAGCTGTCGTATTCTCTGGCTATATTAGTGGTCTTGTTTTTTTGCGCCACTTTCGTGGCTAAAGTTCTGGTATTTGCCCCGTCTCTGGGCTTAATGTTTCTTTCCTCCAAGTCAGACCGCTGTTTCCCTATCCTGTTGTCAAATGTGTTCTTCTTGTCCTTTCATTTCTCTAGCTTGCAAACATTTTTAAATCGCAGCAGAGATCAGATTCGACATCTTCTAACAAAATGTATCTATTTATTTTTCAGCAGAAAACTTACGCTATCCCTGGAAATTTTGGACATGTTCTTTCCGACATAGGTCGAAGTGTGGCGATCTTCTCTGGAAGCGCAGTTTCTGTTGACAGAAAACAACCAGTTACACAGCATACTTGTATTTCGACAGATGACACATCAAGCACATATAATAAATTACTCGTCAATTTACCGTGAATCTGGTATATGACTTTTAGAAAACTGATAGAGCTGTGTCATTAGTTAACAGTTTCAACATCACTAAACGCTTAGTTCTATTGTTAGTCTCACTATCCAAGTATATATATTATACTTACTCTTTGATAAAATACTGGTTGTCCATGCTTGCAAAAAACTCTGGAACAAGACCAAAATGAGAACCAGAAATAAACGAACAACCAGGACTTTCTTTCAGAGTTTACAGCCGTCGAAAGCGAAGAAAAAGATAACCTAGAAAGTGTGAATATAATTATTTTTCATATAATAGCTATATAAATTTTACAAATGACTGTGAGGGGCGGGGGGGGGGGGGGGGGGGGGGGGGGGGGGGGGGGGGGAGGGGGGGAGATCACACGTGGAGAAAACATATGTGTCAAACTGGTCATCACTTACCTGTTGTGGTTATATAATCAGTCTCTTGGGGTTCCTTCTTCAAGCATTGGATCTTACACTCAGGTGCAGGTGACGTCACGCAGATTTCATTACTGTCACACATTTCCCATAATTGACAGAAATCATGAGGACATGTCCCATTATCTTGTTTTTTATTAACTCCAGGTGGTTGGATATCCAAAGGAATGAGAGGTACGGAATCACTGTTTGAAGCCTCATTGTGGTCTTCGTTGTCGGTCGATTCTGTAATGACAAGTCTGCGTTGGTTATGAGGTCAAGTTATAGTTTGTGGTGACATAAGTAAGGTATGAAGGATAAAAAGAACGGGGCTTATAATCAGGAATGGTGAGACAAGCAACGCATATAAAGAAAGCCTTAGAAACCTATAGACCGTAAGGAGCATAATCCTAATTTCTTCTTCTCTAAAGTCCGTGCCGTGTGGTGTAGGTAGTCATGTCTATCCAAACATTCTGTCTGATGTACTTTCAATCAACTCTGACAAAGATGATCTTCCATGCCATGATGTCAAACGGTTCAGCATCTATTCTCTCGGTCTCTCTCTGTCTTTCCTCCCCTCCACCTTTCCTATTGTCACGATGTACTTCAGTATTCTTCTTCTAATCTTCTTCTTCTTCTTCTTCTCCTTCTTCTTCTTCTTCTTCTTCTTCTTCTTCTTCTTCTTCTTCTTCTTCTTCTTCTTCTTCTTCTTCTTCTTCTTCTTCTTCTTCTTCTTCTTCTTCTTCTTCTTCTTCTTCTTCTTCTTCTCTTCCACTTTGTACCTCATCGGAGTGTCCAGGGGAAATGTAATGTTCGTTGGTGAGCTCTGTCAAGAGCACTGTTAAGACTGATGTTCATTTCTGTAAGGCGCATCCAAATGTCATAACTCCATCTTTTCCGAGGTCTTCCACTCGCTCTATACCCGTTGTAACGCTTTAGTGTGGCTCGCTGTGGCAGATAGTACCAGGGCATTCTTGTTAGGTGTACAAACCACTTCATTTGTTTTTCTTTGATGACCTGTAAGACTGGCTTTATTCCTAGCATTCGTGTGATTTCGTATTCTGACTTTCCTTGAAACTCCTGCAGCTCTTCTAAGGCATTTCATCTCTGTTGTCACAATTTTACGATTATTGGAGGATGTAAGTGTCCACGTTTGGCATTGATAGCATAGTGTTGGCCAAAAAATAGTTCTGATAAAATTCACTTTAGTACTCCGAGGAATCTGCTTGTGTGTCAACAGGGGAGATAGTTGCCCCATTACTTGATTGGCTTTGGCACATCTCGACAGACATTCTTTCTGAAAGTGTTTTCAAAATAAATCTGGCGTTGTTTGTGCCTTTAACTTTAACTAAACCACACTGGTCTTCTCCAATTCTGGTTTAATTTTGCACCTTATTCTTCTAATGATAAATCTCATTAATATTTCAGTTAAATTACCCAATAAGCTAATTGTTCGATGTTCTTCACATTACATTGCACCAAGTGTTTTTGGTAAAAGTATGGAAAGAGATTTCAAAAGGTCATCAGGTAGGTGTCCACTGTTATAAATATCATTGAAAAATTTTATCAAAACTTCTAAATCTAGTTCACCAGCAGCTTTTAATTCTTCAATCGTGCTGTTATCTGGTCCAGGAGATTTACAATTCTTCATGTGAATCATGGCATCTTCCACTTCTGCTTTCATGATTGGCGGTTCTTCCCAATACTCATGACTCTCTATTCTACTCTGCTGTTTTCATAGTATAGCTCTTTTATATACTCTGTCCATCTTTCCATTACTTCGATTTGTCCAATAGTGTGTCACCTTCTTTTGTTTTCGAACAGCTACTTATTATATATATATATATATATATATATATATATATATATATATATATATATATATATATATATATTATATATATATATATATATATATATATATATATATATATATATATATATTAACCTTATAGATTTTTTATTCTTGTATACTTGTCTTGTATGTTCTCTCTTTGTTCTTGAATTTCTTTGCACTTATTATTTAGCCATAATTCTCTAGCTATAGTACATTAGGTACTTTTTCTCTATGTATTCTATTATATTCTTCTTGGTTGTGTTTATTTTTCTTCTCATTTCCATCAGATGTAAAATTTCCCCAGTCATTCATTTATTCTTTGCTGTCTTCTTTACTTCTGGTAATATTTCTTTTGATGTCTGTTGTAATGACTCTTATAGCATTTTCCATTGCTCATAAATACTGCTTATCTTCTTAATAGGATTGTGTATATTTTAAATAAACCATTTCTTGATTTGATTCAAGCATTGCCAAATCTAATCTAACGTGGTATTTCTTTGAACCCTCTTTAGTTGCTTCAGCTTTAACCTTTGTTTTCCAATGACTGGCATTTGGTCACTATTACAGTCTGCACGTGGTCTTGTTTTTACTGACAGCAAACTGTTTATGAATCGACTGTTGTTGTTTTTTTCTAATTTAGGAGCATAATAATCTTCTTCTTCGCATTCACCAGTTGTTACCCTAAAGTTTTCGTTGTTTATCCACTTTTGTACTGTAGTAATGTTCCAGAAATTGGTGTGCACATCAGTTTTACACATCTGGCTTATTTGTAAGCATATTGTTGGTTTCTTACCGCTCAGGCTGGTGCATTCCTACTTCGAAGTAGACACACTTAATTAGTCGACTTTTACGACATGTTTGTTAGGGAGGCAGTAGGTCTATTCTTTTACTTTCCAAAATGGGGCACCAGAACCCATGTAGAGAGGAGTATAATTAAACAAATAACAATTTGCTGAACACACACACACATATAAATATTTATGGTTAAAATAATATGAAATAAAGAATAACGTGTACAGAGAATTTCCATACATGATTTCAAAGGAGCTGCTTAGCCTCTTTAAAAAAAAATCATGGGAAAAGATGGCAGGGGTGTATCTACCTTGGGCCTTGAGTGACGGGGTCTCTTAGAGGGAGAGCCGTCAGAAGACGATCACCACACATCACATAGTGTGTCTGTGCGATCGGGCCGTGGGTCTCCCGAAGCAGCCACCTGTACATAGTTCACCGGTGTGTTTTTGGTCATGTGTGCAGAGACTGCCAATGCGAGGTGTATGAAGGGATACATTACACGTAAGCAATGTTTGGTGCGGCCGTTGCGTGTACCGCAAGTATACCTTACTATGGAGGTGAACGGGGTATCTCAGAATTGCCATATTGGGTTGGCCTCCAGGTTGCAGTGCATCGGGTCGATGGGATGTTAAACTTTCCGGTAAATTCTACATGTTGAAAACGGCCAGTAAATTCTTTCAATTATGGGTCGCTTAAGTCAACGACACCTTTACTGTTATCAGAGTAAAATGTTGAATGTTGACTTAGGAATCAACACCACAGTATTCAGGGCATTCACATAAGAGCTGTGTCCCCATCTTCAACAGCAAGCACAGAGTTTCAGTTCTTATGTTAGCAGAAACAGATGATCTATTTGTGCTGTGAAGTAAAGCCGGCTGGCTTGATGCTAACCACATCACTCACCAAGTGCCGGTCTATAAAATATAGGTCTAGCCCTATATGCCCAATACGCCCGAAGGGGTGGAAACGGGCCCTTATCGAGACGCCTGATTACCCGAGATTCCATTCTTTCTACTCCGCAAAGGAAAGTTTTTTTTTTTTAAGCTAACAAATAAATAAAAAAAAATAACGTAAATGGGGGTGAATGCAGTTAAGCTGATTGCAAGAAATGCTAAATATAATATAAAATGTGATTAGAAAGCCCAGCTGAAGGAATAGAGAAGACGCGCGCAATCAAAACCGAACGTTTCGATCAAAGTCTCTGTCAACGGAATGCTATTTACAGTTTGTTCTGTATTTAATATTACATTGATAAAGATTTGGTCGAAACGTTCGGTTGTGTTTGTCTGCGTCTTTCAGTGGTCCATAAAGTGTACGTTCCACCGTTGTTCTTTCTGGCCAAAAGGTTTGCCTTAATGTGTCAAATTCGGTGCTGTCCTGGAGTACATGCTCTGCTGTTTGGGGTACCTTTCCACAGGTGCACATGGCTGATACACCTACATTGAATTTTTTAAATAATAAATAAGCTGATAACCCTATGCAATATTTTAACGTATAAAATAATGATGATTCTGCACAGGTGGCTGTTAATGAATATTCGTAGCTTATCGATAATTGCTTTAGTACCTGTTTCTGTGCCATCTGGTGAGCTAATATTGCCTGGCTGCTGTCGGCGATAACGACTCCCTGCCTCTGTAGGGCTGAGAAGCAGCATTGATGATAAACACAGGAACAATAACACCGTCATGACTTGACTGAATTTACTTCTTCTGCTCAGTTAGATCCTCTGTAAACAAAGAGCGATTATCGTTGTTGAAAATGATAACATGTTTACATTGAAGGAATTATCGAAATTCTAAATTAAAAATCTTCAACCTTCTAACACCCGGTGATCAGGAATAAATAAGAAATCCTAAATAACCGTC